AATTTAAAATAAGCGAAAATGAGACTAAAAATTAACTTCATCTTAGATAATTCGGTTCTCAATTATGTCAATGAGTCACATAGCTGACATGTCTGAAATTTTCCAATTTGGATAGTTCTATTCTCAACTTAAGTTCATATTGAATGAAACTTCAGAGAATGCAGTTGCCTGTCTTTTATACTTGTTAAATCTAGAAGCAAAACTTATTGAATTGAAAAAAACAAAATTGAATTTCAATGGTTCAACCTTTTTTTTTCTTCATTTAAGATGCATGAAGAATATGAAGGGTATGGCGCGAGTTTGTGTGGTTGCAGGATAACCTTTTCGGGACGCTCGCCGGCAAAGGCGTTAGAATGATGGTAAGCATCATAGGAAGCGTGCCTGCTCATAAATATGTTTTTTTTTTTTTTGTGGTAGCCACCACTGCTCTGCAGGTGCTCAGTTTTATGGCAATGTCTATAGAGTATAGGCCATCAACTCGCGGGTTGAATTCAATTTCAGAACATGTAGTCGAACCTCACTGGAGGCCAATCTGAGCGGTCGTTGAGGTCCACGCTCAAGGACTTAACGGCTCCTAAATGTAATTAGCATCTAAATGCATTGACGAGTCACGGACAGAGCTGTTGGGCTGCCATATATAGTACATACATATATATACATCAGGTATCTAATGAATATTATAGCAGCCAGGAGAGAGACTACCATATACATATGTATATAAAGATATATATGCGAGTGTGCAGTGTGGATCGCGTGGGTTGCACCAATAAGTATGCTGCATGAACTGAAATTGGGTTATGCATATTTGAAAAGACTGCGCCGTCGGCTCCTGCTGGCCTCCAATATTGGGATAATAAAGCTTTAGTTGCAGCCAAACCAGGCTGTATATCGAAATTTAATAATTCAGTTGCCTGAGCCTGTGCCTTTCACGTTCAGTAATAACCAAATAGTATAGATTAAGCCCGAAAAAAATACGAATGAAAAATGCAATTGATGCCAAATCGTTATTTGATCATACAACAGCTCAATTATTTTCAATTCCCCAATTTCTGCAATGCGTTCACAGTTCGTATACTTCATATAATGACTAATCCCTTGTATGTGGCAAGAAAAATAATAAAACAAATTGAATCAGACTTATATTAAACAGTCAAAGAGACCGAACCAGTCTTTGGCCAAGCGTACCTACATAATCTTTATTCATATATAAATAAGTGGTATGATAGACATCAATCCGGCTTTCCTTCTCCTCCTTTGGGCAGCTGATTCATTCAGCCGCAATCCACGATAATTCTCTTTGTTCACCCACTTGCATTTGAATCGCAATCTGCTTTTTCTATTAATTGGTTTAGGTTATGCGTTTTTATATATTATATGTACCATGATTTGCATGGTAATCATAATTTGATGAGATTCTCGCGACATTGAAGTTTGTTTGTTTGTTTGTTAGTTTGGTTTATTTTATATAATTTCGTTATTCGCCGCTTTGTTTGCAGAACTTGTTATTCATTACGTTTGCTCTTGTATATATAAGTATTACGCTGCACTTAGTTTTGTTTGTTTGTTTTTTGTTTGTTTTTCTTTTCTATTTTTTTGTTTTTGTTTTTTTTTTTTTTTGCTAGTCCCCGCGCAAAAAACAACCACAACAACTATAGGAAAACAAAACGTAATCGTTGCGAATGCAGAGAACTCGTAGTCCGTGGTCCGTGTCCAGTTTCGCGTAGTCCTTTGGCCGTCCGCACAGCGCGACGTTCCGCAACAAACTAATACGGCGGAGGACACATTGATTCGTTTAAAGGACGAGGGCGATGAGTATGGCATTGGTACCGTAAAAGCTGAGAAAACACGCTTGATAAGGATAACGGCGCCTCAAGGACACCCAAAGAGAACTTTCGCATATTGCCTTCAAATTGAAACGCATGCAACTCGCTCTCTTAACTAATTTGCTTGCCCCTTCTCCAGGGGATGATTTGTTGCCAGCGACGCGACAACATTTCACCTTCCAACTACCAAAGATTTTCAATGAGCAGCCCAGACTGCTCGACTAGCAGATACGCTACAATTAAGTTTCACTCTTTTATCAACTAGCTGTACTTTTTATTATTAAATAACCGTTCGTTAAGGTACATGTTAATTTTACCATGAGCATTTGCTGCACGAAACAGATTGTGATTTGACCTTACGCTAATGACTTTTTGAGCGCGCCTCGTATGCAACTAGCTAAGAGTAATTATTTACTCTTGATTCGATTATGCACATTTTCTCTTCGGGGCGCTCTCTTAAATGTGCGTGCGTGCGGCACCCAGAGCTTTTCACAAGCTTTCTGCGATAAGCCATTGGTAAACAAACGTTACGTTCATTCATGGAAACAGCAACAACAAATTTTGTCATGCCCAGCGCAAAAATATAAACATTTCTACGTACGCATATATAGATTTGTATATGCATAAATATTTGTGCTTAGCTATATGTATAAATATATTTACATATATATATTTATATAAAAACGGCGGTTCGCAGATTCAGTCGACTCAAAAGAAATAATCAAAATAAAATATGCTGAAAAGCTCAAACAGCGGCGCCATGTGCCATCGGCAATGACTCATTCTGCTTGGCCTGAATGTTATCGTAAATCATGGTTTCACATTTTGTAGAGCCCACTTAACCAAATTATTGATGTGCACTCACACCTCAGGGATGCTAACCTTACACAAATACCTATAGCAAATAAATACTTTACAATATCTCACATTTATGTACGACCATTTACAACAAAGAAGAAATAGGTATTTTTTCAAATTTACATATACCATATATCCATATAGTGCACGGTACGCATATTTATAAATCGGAAATTTATGTTTCCCACATACAGCTGAAGAGCACATGTACACATATTTCTATGTGCCTTGTCTCAAGATTCGCGAATCTGTTTTCATTTATACTCGTTGATGTGACACGCCTTGAAAGCTCTGAAAGCCGCCTACTGCGGCAGCGCTTATTGTTATTCCTTGGTTGCCAACGAGGGCAGTTTACAAACTTGTGAAATGTTTATCCTTTAAATATTATTGTCTTCAACTAACCTTTATGTACCCTGAAGGCATTAGAATGGTTGAGAAGGGTTTAACGACTTGGAGCTCATGTATATAACCTGCAGAACGGAAATTCTTCGAAGAAGAAGTTTTTGATCCACAAAGACAGACGAGTCGACTAAGCCATGTCTGTTCGTTCAGACTTCAAAGTTAGAAATTTGAATTTTGAATGTTGGTTTCTTAAAGGAATATCGAGTTACTATAGGAATTGATATCGATATCCTGCATAGGATAAAGTATAAACAGCTGCAGTATATTTTGTTTTTGCGACATATCCCGTCTCTTACCAAAATTAAAATTAACAATAAATAATTCTGTACTTTGGTCCTTAAACACATTTAAGTACATTAATACCCTAAAAATACGTAAATACCGGACTTAGTACACCAAAGCTGAGATATTGAGATATTAGACAGGGAAATGCCAATATCCTTTTGAACTACCCTCGTTTGTGCCGGCTTTTACTACACATTGAAAGCGGCGCGGGCAAACGACAATAACGACAACGACTTGCAATGATTCATCGCAAAAACTCAGCAGCAACACATATAAATATATATATGTATATATACATAAAAGTATGTCTATATACACAACATGTGCATGTATCCATATACGATTCCAAAATTAAAGTCTCTGTTTGAATTGCATGCATTCGAATAAGCGTGACCGAGTGTTGCCACTGATTTTGAAGTTTTAATTATGCGAGTACCAAGAAACGAATCAGTTGGTCAAGAACAGAAAGGAAACCGGGCTATAAAAAGTAGACCACAGATCTTTAGTTCTTAACTATCAGTTAGCTATGCAAATTTGTACATACATATACTCAGAGATACATAATCCAAAGTTTCAGTTGTTTCAGCTGAACTTGAAGATCATCCATCATTTGTCATAGCTGAACTCTAAAAAGGGTATCAAATCTTCGGCATAGCGAATTAATGTGTTCTTTCTGGTTTTATTTATAGCAATGCCACCGAAACGAGTTTCTAGAGCACAGCTTGCTTTTGTGTGGCCAAGGTTAATCGATTTGAAGGTCCGCTCCGCAGTTGCCAAATATTTATCAAAATGGACCCAAGAAAAAAAGTGTTATCAATGGGCATGGGAGCTTAAAATATATTTATACAAGCTAAGCAGAAAAATGATTCCATTTTAGAGTACAAATCATTGAAATTCTTTTCAATTGAAAGAGCCCAGGATTTGAGTTGGAATTTATACTCACTGCGATCCCAAAAATAATATATATACAAGCCATGACTGGACGACATGTGTTTGTTTATTTTTAAATCAATCTGCTCGTCATTCAGGGATTGAGCGAACTAATTTTAAATACATTCATTGACCAGTTTGAATATTCAAAGTGAACTGAATATAATTTGTATTCATTTAGCCCAAATTGAGCAAAAATGAATGCGAATTGTTGTTTATAATATTTATTAATTTAAGCCCCTTTATGACAAAATTATAAGTATGTGAGAAAATCCGGCGTACATTATCACGCAAGCTCAAGAACCAAGCGCTGGCTCGCGTTGACGATGACGTAATGAGCACCATTTCCGGCGCATGGAATGACGCTTTTTTTGGCGTCGAGTTTGTCGCTTTGTAGTTGGCCATGATTAATGCCCTCACAAATGCAGGAGTTACAAAAGAAATACAGAGTAATACAGCATACGCCAAATATGTTGATATTTGTTAGGCTCTAAAGCGATAGCGATAACAATTCCAATTGTGATTAGATAGCGTAGCGACCCGACGCATGCGCAGGCACAACAACATACAATTGGTTAGTGTAACCCATTTCGAAACGCACCTGTTATCGCTGGCTTTATCTTATCTCGCACCTGCCCAGATTGCAAAAGCTACAAATTCTTTTGACTATTTTCCCCCAGTTTGTATCAGTCGAGCATTCAGTTGAGTAGCGACAACGTAACGAATACGAATACGAATACGAATATAGATTGAGATTGAGATTGAGTGTGTGTTAATTAAAGACAAACGACAAAGAAAATGGTATCTGTGGAGACAATTGGTTCGATTTTCATCAAAGCCCTAAAACTGGTAAGTGCCAAGAAATGTTTGCCTGTAGAACAAAAGTCCTGCGGTTTTGGCTTACAAATATTCCAACATTTCGCTTGAAAATTGTTGAGCAATGCGACGACTAACTGGTTGGCCTTATCGGCCTTATCAGTGGTTGGGTGTACTTGTTAGTAATATTACTCATATATACGAAAAGCACAAGATCAAAAGTGCGGGTCGTGAGTGCGCAATAGCTTTAGCTAAAGCTTTTCACAGGGCGGGGCACACAAATGCTCATTATAAGGTTACGATTGGGCTTACAATCGGTCTGATTCATTAGCCAGTTAGATGTGGACTATATTCGTATTACTAATATCGCATTCTTGCAGATCATCAACTTGGTCGTGATATTTCTGTATCGCTGGGGCGATGGCGGCGAATTCCTGGGCATTGGCGGCACTTGGAATCTGAACGAAGAGAAGAGCGCCGATGCGGAAATTGTGGCCTCCGGCGTAATGGTCGGCTTCTTTATATACACGGCATGCCACACAATTGCCTACTTATTCGGCACCACAAAGCATAAGGGGTAAGTCTTGGAATCCTGCAACTGCCGGACCATTCGTTTAATCGGATTTAATTTATGTGCTTTCAGCGAACTGTGCGACACCATTATGAATGTGGTGGGCACCTTTATGTGGATCGCCGTTGGCGGCGTGGCGCTGCATTACTGGAAGGGCTACATGTCCGATGAGGGTTTCCTCTATGTCAATTCGGAGCGACAGGTGGGCATTGCCATGGGCTCGCTGTGCGTCATCGAGGGCGCACTCTATCTGCTGGATACCGTGCTGGCCTGCATACACTACTCCAAGGGCGACACCGACTACACGCAATAAGCTGGGAAGTTGGCTGAACAAAATGGGGCAACTGCCGAATATAACTGACAAAGTTTTTCTTGTTCTACACACACAATTTCAGTTATTTCTAAGTGCAAATTAGTTTATAACCTACTTATGAAGCCAAATCTGTATGTTTCGTTTATAATTTTACAATTACACGCATAACAATTAATCAAAGGCCAGTTCGCTGGCCGAACAAAAGAACAAATCATTTATGATTCACTCCAACATTATACTACGCAAAATACAAGATCTTAAGATCAATACCAACCAAAAACATTCGATTCAATATTTAAACGGATTACAGACTGGAATATCGAATAGCTACGATAGGAGGAACAAGACTTTCATCTAACTGAGAAATTTCTTTACCCTATTTGGATTGTCATTTGGCATTCAGCTATTACGAATTCTAAACATAGCTTGGTTCGTTTTATAGCTCTTGTAACCTTCCCTGAACTAGCTCAGTTGCAGCTTTGGGCCAAATTATTATTCAAAGTGTCACACGCTTGCCATAAAAACTAAATATTTTATGTTTGTATTTATGAAGGTATGAACAAGCGTATGATTATCTATGTATACATGTTCATATGTCTGGGTCAAGGCTGTAAGCCGATTTTGAATCGAAAGATTTCAATTTATTTCCGGAATTCTGAACCAAAACCCGAACCTTATCAGATGCTACTCGAAAATGGTTTGATTCAAGCCTAAATATTATGAGCCCCAATCATTGGATTTCGCTAACCATATGTGTGTCTGGTAGTTTCCAATTTTGGGAGTTATCAAATTTAGCCCGCAATCTCTATATGAAAATATGTATGACATGGACTATAATTTCAGTAGAACGGGCAATTATAAAGTACAAATGGAATTGTTTAATTAACAATTGAAAATAAATCAAAAAAATAACGTTAGCATCTCAATAAAAAGACGAGCCAGGGATGGAGCCAAAAGCTAAGTTCACGAACCGAATCTAATGGAGAGGCACTGGTTCAAACCAAGAACCGAATCAACGATCTTTTGTTTGGGTTTGCAGCCATGATCGTTAAGTATTTAAAAAAATATTTTATGATCCCAAGAAAATTATTGACTATATGATATTAACCGGAAAGCGATTGGAGATTAGTTTTATATAAAAGAGATATGGAAAACTCTTCGTATCTAAGGTTAAGAAAGTTAAAAATCCAAACAAAGAGGTTGGAATGAATAGATGAAAACTGGAGAGGAACTCAGATACAATAGCTTCAATAACTCAAGGGACAAAAGGCAAAAATGTAAAGAAACTTTCCAAAGGATACAAAACCACCTAACCATGTCCCACATAATCCAATGTACAAACTAAAACTCACCTGTATTTTGGGCTTCCCGCGCCCATCCACGGTGTCCCGTTGTTGCTTAAAGCTGTTGGCCCTGACGACACGCTGAGCGCAGAGCGCACAGCGCCGATTCGCAGAGCCATCCTCCAGATTGAGTGCATCAAAGAGCATTGGCTGGTCCTGAATGTAGGAGTTGCGCGAACGCTGATTGAGCAGCTCGAGGGTGCGCGAGTCCAGGCTTTCCCTGTAGACATTTTGCATTCTGTCCAAATTGTGCTCGAAATCCGTGTCCAGATTAAAGGAGCTCTGGCTGCTGTTGCGAGTCGAAGCGGATTGCTGGCGTGCGAGCAAGGAGCTGCTGCTGCGCTTGCGACGCCTCACCACGGTCTTTGGCGTGCTCTCCAGGGAGGTGCCGGCGAAGGAGGGCGTGCGCGGCAGGGGCAGACTAGCGGCGCCTCTACTCCCATTGGCATCACCGAGGGGTGAGGATGAATGCGAGTAGTAGGGGCTGCTGGCGGTGGCTGGCAATGGCAATTGGGGCGTTGGGCCGGGCGGCTGCTGCTGCTCAGCTGCGGCCAGGCTCATCAGCGAGTGCTGGCGTTCCAGTTGCTTCTCATAGCCATTGAACTTGTCGTAGTCAATGAACGACATATTGGCATAGCTGACCATATTGTCGATGGCTTGCAGCGACTGCAGCGAGGCGCTCCACTTGGGATTCATCTTATCCTTTTTCTCCTTCTTGTCCTTTTTCTCCTTTTTCTGCTCGCCATTGTCACTGCCCGTCAGTCCACTAAACGTGCTCTTGAAGGAGGCAATGAGCGTGCTCGAGCGCCGCTTTTGGAAATTGAGCTGCGGATTGTAGCTGGCATCGGCGGGCGTCAGGGACTTGCGCGGCGCGGGCGACTCCGTCTCCTCCAGCGGCGTCGAGGTCAGCGCCTGAGTGGACTGTCGTCGCGGCGGCGTCGAAATCGAGCTGGCGGTATCGGCACGTCGTCGCATTATGGGCGAACACGTATCGCCCGCACCGCTCTCAGCCATTGAATTCTTGCGCGGCGATGCCGGCGACATGGGATCACCCGACTTCTCCGCCTCCTCCGACAGCTGCTCCAGCATCGGCTCAATAAAGCTGCGCCGATTGGGTCGTCGCAGCAAGATCATCGAACGGCTGCGCGTAAACGTGAACGGCGTTTTGCCCGCCTCGTCCTTCGCCTCGTCGCTGCGTGCCAGATTCTCCTTGCTGCCCGTCAACGTATTGAACAACCGGGACAGTTTGCCGCGAAAGCTATGCGTACGCTCCATTTTGGGCAGCGCATCCAGGCTGGGCAACTGCGACATGGTGGCGCGCCGCTCCGCCTCGTACTGCTCCTTGAATTTTTGCGTAATGTTCGGCGTCGTCGTAGCTGGAGTTGTGCCAATCATAGATTGTGAATTGTTATTATTTTGCACCATGTTGTTGTTGTTATTGTTGTTGCTGCTGATGTTGTTGTTGGTGTTGTTGCTGCGATTATTGGGCTTTGTATCGCTTGGTTTGGTTTTTGCATTCGTGGCCGGTTTACTGATCCCGTTTTTACTGCCATTAATGGCCTGTTGCTGTTGTTGTTGTTGCTGTTGCTGCTTCTGCTGCTGCTTTTTATTTGTCTTTTGTAACTTCTTTTGTCCCTTTGCGGCGCTCTTCGTCTCTTTGCTGGCATTCATTTTGCTGCCAATTAACTGGAACAACAAAAAAAGCACAAAGAGAGTTAGCGAGACATAGGTATTAATAGATGACAGGTAAGTATATTATTAGCCCAGTTTAACACTCTCTTCGCAGCGATACCTCTTATCTGCCGTGTGCTTTAATATATAAATCGGCATTCCAGTGTTTCTGGCCAATGTGGATAATGATATCTCATTTTGGTGACTTGTCTAATCTATTTCTAGGCCACTCGCAAGTAACAGAAAATAAAAACTAATAAATACTCTATGTTCAGCGGCAAAACTTTATAATACCCTGTACTTAACTCCTTTGCGGTTCTTGAGATCTTTCGAATTTACTTGAAACTCTTATTTCTTGAAGAAAACAAATTGAATGCTGACAATTTTACAAGCTTTTTAAATACTCAAGAAACAAAAGATTTTCAGAGTTATCTTAAAAATATGGCGCCTCATAAATCGAAAATTAAAAATTTACCATAGTTACCCGCAAGGCTCTTTTGCAAATTATGTTCAATCTTTCAATTTAATAACGGATGATAAAGCTTTCAAAAATAAAATTTGTTAGATAAAGCCCGTTTAATGCATATTTTGCGAGATTTTAAATTATTTGAAAGTTCTCGTTGTCGAACATGCACTGTAATGTCTTTTTTGATAATAATATATTGGGAATATGTTACATTCAAATGGGTTCCACAAGAAATTCCAATATTTTTATGACGCCTTTGGAGCCTATATGATTCGCCAACTTTCTTTTGAAATGATGCATCAATTCTTCAACTTATCTGTGTTAAAGGGAAGTTAGCGATGAACCAGCTTGTGCTTATTGATAACGCATAAGAACTTCCTGAAACGGAACTCTTCACAAAATCGCGACCACAGTTCGTATAATACTTAAATGCATGCAAGCTGCTATGGAGATAAATAAGAGATCAAAGATCTCTCTCTCTCTCTCTTGTTCCCGCTCTCTTTATTTCTTGGTTGCAGCAAGTGAATTCAGTGCGAAATATCCGAGTTGTGCCCATAACCTCGAAGAATAGAAGCATTTACAAGCATTTGATAGCTCCCGGGAGTATCATTAAACACGAGGGCTTCCAATCATGTCGCAGTTGGAAAAAAAGGCAAGATATGACTTTGACAAACGGCGCAAAAATGGGGATAGAGTGTGGTGTGACAGCTACGACAGCAACAACACAAAGAGCCAAACTGTTATCTGAAACAATTATTTTTTTGTCGTTTTTGTTTTTTTTTTTTTTGCCCAGTAAAGCTCAAAAACAACAGTTAACAGTGTGATAAGATTTGAAAAAGTCACACACAAATGCACTTGTCGGCGTGCCTGGCAATATGCCATTTTAGTTACCTGGTTAAGGTCCGAATTTGATATCAGTATAGTAAAAAAGTATTTCACTCAGACGAAAGCGTCAAACAAGATATAATTTAGCATGTTCAATGCACACACATATTCATTATTGATACGATCTCCTCTTAAAAACTCCTAAAACAACTTCACAATTTGCAAGCGATTCTTAAAAATTACATTTAAAACCGATGTATTTATGTTTAAATATAGCTCAGTAAATTAATTCCTAGCGGAAGGTCTTATTAGCCAAAACTATTTCAAAAAGATGTTTTACATCTCAATAAAAATTTTTATAGTACCTACTTTTACTCAATCACTCTTTGCACCTACCTCACACACTTAACTGACGCCTTTCTATGAGATTCTCATGAATTCAAGTATACAATGTTTAGGGCTTTAAACCGACTCTAAGCCAAATACACACATGCTCGCAAGGGTATTTCGAATTCGGCAATGCAAAGAAAGTGCATCTTTCATATTTTCACTCTGCACGCATCTGATATTATTGCATAGATCCGTGTAAGTATTATTTTACAACTTGCTGTGCATATTGATCTTATACCAAAACCAGTTTGCGGTTTTAATTAACGAAACGTTGTTGTTGTTGTTGTTTTTGTTGTTGTCGTTTCGACACGAGATATTGACACTGGCTGACTGACTGGCTGTCCGACTGTCTGACTGTTGATGGGTATTCATTTTAAAATTTACCTAATGACACTTACTGCGTAAAGGTACAAAGGTATTCGAGCTTTATACAAAGTTGAATTTAGTATTCATACTGGCAAGCAAATTGATCTTTAAAATACAACTGACAAGCCGAAGATTATACACACTCTTAGAAAAATATTAGACTTTTGAATAAAGTTTGGTTTATATAGGCATAGGTCAAGATAAAAGTAAAGCTCTTAGTGGCCGAGATCGGTCAATATATCTAAAGAAAGCCATTGCAAAAATCAGGTTTTAGGCCGATTCTTCTAAGGAACACACTTAAACTCGTAAATGTGATGATTGGTCAGGAAATCTTGGGAAACAAATACATATATCTCATATAAGAAGTTAATTTTTAACCGATCTTTTCTATGACAGCTATATATATAATATTGAAGATACTATAATTCGTATACCTCAGAGTATAAAGTTAATTAATAATACCTATTATTTTTAATATAAGCACCGAATATAGCTACAAGATCGTGCACTTTGCCTGACAGAGAAATAGAAGTGATTGGGCTGGAAAAATTGATCCGAACAAAAGATATATTCGCTCTGCAAGTAGAGTTTTCACTGTGCATTTTTTCCTTATATTCCTCATGTATATGAGATCTATAAAACGACTTAAGAGTTGGTCTTATCGGTTTTTGAATTCACTTTGAGTTCATTTTGTGTGTGCTTGGCTATCTTTTCCTTATTGTTATTGTTGTTTCGTATGTGTTTTGATTCATTTGTTTATATTTTGAATTAACATTCGCATATTATTGCAACAAAAAACAGGAACGCACGAGTTTTTCGAACCGTGCCTTGTCGCAGACCCGAAATTTGCTCTTTGAATTCAATGTAAGTATGTATGTATGTATGTATGTATGTATGTACGTATGCGCATACAAATGTACGTAAAAGCGTATGCATGTATTCTGGGTTAGCTTTGGATCTTTGTCAAGTTCGCGGCGTAGATGTAAACAAAGTCGCAAAAACTATTATTTAAGAATACAAATACATTTTAATACACACTCGTGGGTATGTACATATTGGAAATGTATGTACATCGATGCCATTATGTATGTATGTAAGTGTTTATGTATTTCTGAGTGCTATGCACACAATATTGCGTGGCCACTTGCGCAACTTGACAACCAGCTGACAGTCGAGCGTGCATTCTCTCTCTCTTCCGTTCTCTTTAACGCACAAATTTCTTTGCGCGCTGCTCTCCTGCCCGCGCTCTCACTGTGGCGACGCAACGTAAGCACGCTCATCATTTTTAACTCGTTTTCGTTCGTTATTTATGTATGTATGTAATTATGTGCTCGCACACATACATATGTATGTGCATAAATGCTCAACATACCAGCTTTTAGAGCATATAAAATTTTATTTTTAATTAATTGTTGAATTATGTTGGAACACAGTATTATTTACATATGTATTTATGCACACATGTGTGTATGTATGTATATACAGCTGTGTTCACATTTGTCATCACTTGTTTGCCGGTTCCCCTGCTGCCACACACATTGTCGCTAAAGCAACCCAAACTTTTCCTTTTTTTTATGTTTTCACTTACCAACCGGCTTATTGTCACAATCACTATTGTGTTTTAGATTCATTTATCATATATGGCACCTTAATTTACACTACGCCAGTTGCGAAAATAAAGGAAGCACTTTGGCACGATGCGAATTTTCTATTAACAACGCGCAACGACGCAACTAATGAACACCGCGCGCGCGGGTGACTAGCGGTTAACTGATCGACAGGCACCTCCACAGCTGGAAGCATGGAGAGCATTAAACAAGGTGACGCAGTGCGCATGTCCATACTTCGTCGTTCTCTTTCGGCGAAACATTCGTAGCGTGTGACGTTACGCTCTCTGAGAGTCACTGCTGGCTAGCCTTAAGCGTGTGTGTGTGTGCATATGCATCCATGCAAGTGTGTCGGCGCGAGCTTGTGTGTTTACAGGGCATTCCCAAGTGAGATGCATTAAATAGATTTTCCTCGGCTTAGTTTTTTTATCGACAAGAATAAGATCGCAGCGTAATCGGTCTGTAATCGGTTTCCAACGTATATATTATATACGAAAGTTGAACATTATTAGTTTTTTATATATGTATTTTTCATCGGGGTTATAATTAAAATGATGTACGTACGCATACATATGCTCTTCGTTTAAGTCGCGAAATTGTGATAAGCAAAAATATGTAAGTCCACATTCATATACACATGCGCATTTGTGTGTTAATGTATGCATGTGTGTGCGTGTCAATTCGATTAGATTGTATTAAAAAATTCAATTGAAATCTATAGATTAAATCGTCTTTCAACTGTTCCAGTTGACTCGGAATGGCCACAGCGAAGCCAGTGCTCTGCGTGGGCTGCACGGTAATTGACTTTGTCACAATCAACGAAAGTTTTCCCAAGGAGGACACTGATCGACGATGCCGCGACGGATTTTGGCAGCGTGGCGGGAATGCCTCTAATGTTAGCACCGTGCTGCGGCTACTGGGCGCCAATGTCGAGTTCTTTGGCATGCTTAGCCAATCAGACGGGTTCCGTGTGCTGCTGCAGGATTTGGAGCAGCGTGGCATTGATGTACAACACTGTCCCAAGACGGATAAAGATCCGCCCTTCTCATCGGTAATAATTGTCCAGGGCACGGGTTCGCGCACAATTGTCCACTGCAATAAGAACTATCCTTATGTGACGTGGGAGGACTTCAGCAAAATCGATCTCGATCGCTATGGCTGGGTGCACTTTGAGGCGCGCAACGCCAATGAAACAATCAAAATGATAAGATCCGTGCAGGAGCACAATAGAACTCATAACGAGCACATTACCATCTCATTAGATTTTGAGACATTGTATGAGCAGAATCTTCCAATGTGCGCTCTTTGTGACTATGTTGTGTTTTCCAAAGAGCTCGCCAACCAGCAGGGCTGGAGAACTGCCCAGGAAACATGCAATGAGCTGGCTCGCAACTTGGAATCAAACTGTCCGTGTATAATTTGCCCGTGGGGCAGCACTGGTGCTGCTTGTCTGGATGCCGCCTCAAAAGAATGCTCCATGGTGGCGGCCTACTCGCCCGACCGTATCGTGGATACGCTCGGTGCCGGTGACAGCTTCATGGCCGGATTCATATACGCCACATCTGTGATGAAGCAAAGCTTAAAGGATGCTGTGAGTTTCGCTAACCGGGTGGCCGGGCATAAGATCACCGACTATGGATACGATCACATTGCAGAACTCCAAAAGTATGACAAGCTTAGAACTGGGTGAACATATAGCAACGCGACAGAGTCGTATATTAATTAAATTTAAACAAAAATAAAATATAGTTATTAAATATGTGCATGCTAATGTTATACATATGTAGGAGGAAAAAGGAAACATAAAGTTGGAACCGAAGCTCTAAAGGCATAAGACAACTATAGAATTCCAAGAATATTCAATAATTGCCATTCAACTAAGACGCTTTATCCTTGTCGACAAATATATTGTAGCTTATTGACATGAGTCATCTTATAAGAAACATCCTATTGCAATAGTTTTGACTCTGTCCAGTGCCTATGTGAATTTGGTAAAATCTGCTCGCTGATCCTCCACATCTGTGCTTGCGGTCGATGAGGAGGCGATTCCAATGCCGCTGGACGCGCTGCCACTTTTTTGCTGTTGTTGTTGTTGTTGCTTTTTTTGATTTTCAATAAGCTGAAACAAAAATAAAAATATTTTTAATTTTGAATTATTCATTTTTATCTTTTAATTTAGTTAAACCTGCGAGCGCAAACGCTTCAGTTTGCGCATTCTCTCCAGCCAATTGGATGCATATGGATTCGTATTCTCCACGCTTTGGTAGACAAGTGAAGCCAGCTGCAACGGGACACATGTTGGAATCGAATTATATAGTAACCTATAGTTTTTGTGTACAATAAACATATGTATGCAAATAATTTTTAAACATATGCCTTGTTATACCCTGGCAGAGATTATTTGCAAGACATAAAGGGATCCATCTTCGAGCTCAGAAAGCATATAAATCCGTATCCACAATGTCAGTTTTTTATGAAAATTGTCGGCAAGATTTAAAGCTATCATCATGAAACTCTATAGACCCCTATTTTAGTGTCAGAGCCGTCTGAAAAGGTCCACTATATCAGGTGGGCTCCGTACTGCATTCCGTACAAACTATCTGCAGGGTATTAAATATTCGGCATGCCGAAAATTACGATAAGTTTTATGTTTCCTCACATTTGCATGCAGCGCCATTTGTCGGGCTAGTATGGGTGCGCTACGATCAGAGACTATTCGCGGTTCTGAATGGCAGACGAACTTGGAGATCTCTGAGCGTGCCTTGACATACACTCGATTCGAGTTAAGCTCCAACGGTTCAACGATCACACACGCATAGTTAAAGTGGCCCTTCAAAGAATAAAAATTAAATTTTGTCAGATTCATATCGATTAGCTCGACATACCGATATCGTTGTTAGATTATATTCCTCGCCGCTTTCGTTGTAAATGATTTTCACAAAGTCGTTGCCAATATGCTTTTTCTTTTCATTGCAGTTGGGATCATCCTGTAGATTTGTGGGCATCAATGTAGCCACATGGAAAGTAACCTGAAAACGTACAAAACGTAATAAATTTATGTTCTTAAATTAATTGGAATTAATTTATGCCCACCTGCAGTATGTCATCCTTCCAGATGTAGGCAAATTTGCCGTCTGCTCCACTCTTGTCCAGTCCAATAAATAAGTTATTCTGTTCGGCTTCCTTTAGACCGACCAATGTGCCAATGCTCCTTAGAAATTCCACGTAACGTGTGCTACCGTGGGAATTGCGCAAGATCTCCACCTCGTTGTTACACTGATTCCGACCCACATAAAGCACGCCGATCCTGTGTGTCTCAAATGGTGGCACAAGATCGAGCAGCGCCAATGCACTCGACTGCTCTGGGCCCACCTTAAGCGGCGTCTCCGTCACCCCCAGCTGGCCAGTGCTGTACAGCTGTAGAAAAACAAAGCTGGGATTCATGCACAGCTTGGCACTGGTCGATGGCTTGGTGGCGCCAAAGCTGCGAAAGCTGCTAGCCGGCGGTGGTCGCGCTTTACCATTGTTCACCTCGCGCACAACCGATATTGTTTTAGAGCGACCACGCATCATGTCTCCGCCACCATTGTTATAGTCTGATCCGCCAGCGACGACTCCGTTGCTGCCATTGCCGCTGCTGTTTGACTTGGCTAGGCCCAGGACCGATCCGACGGCATAGCTTGCTATCTGGCTAACAGTTGATGCCGGCAGATGCTTGGTTACGACTACTGCCTGTCCTGGCCCCTGAGGTGACAAGGGTGGCTTACCAACGGCGCCCAGCTTCAGAGAGGATGCTGACGCTGAGGTCTGCACCATGCCCGGTTGAACACCGCTGCCCGTCACCTGGCTGCTGACATTATCGGCCGAGTGCTGTTTCGGAGGCAGCGTGCCAGCCGCCGGTTGCAACGGAAATTTTAATGCCTGCGCTGATTGCGGCGGCGTCGAACCAGCTATCTCCTCGGGTATAGCCTCGCAGCTGACACGCATGTCTTTGGTGCTGTACTGAACGGTCTTTTTCTTCGACAGAAGGTGCGGCTCGTCGAAGGGTGCTTTAACGGCCGCCGGCTCTTGAGAGAGCGGCGCCGGTTTTGCGGCTAGGAACGCCTGCCGCCAGCTGGAGCTCATCTCCGGACTGGAGTTAACACGTCGCACCGGATTGCGAGCTCGAGATTGGCCATCACCAAAGGCCAATGCTTCGTCATCGGCCTCACCATCACTGACGCTGCCACTGAGCGCCGCTTCCTTGCCTCGTTTGGCAGCGGCAGCTAGGCGTGGAATGTCAATGGCCGCTGTGCCGCCGCCTGCGTTGCTAACGGAGTGAACCTCCTCTTGTCGCTGCAGTGCGCGCGCCTTGGCCACCATTCGGTTGCGCATTTCGGTAGCTGCTGGAACCGCAGCTGGTGTAGGCTCTGGTTCTGTTTTTGGCATTGGCTGAATTTCCGGCTGTGGCTGTGTTTGTGGCTGCTGCTGCATCGGTAGCGGCTGCATGGGGTTGTCCGGGCCGAAGACTCCGCCATAGGCAGTGGGTAAAAACAGTGAAACCATGCTATTGAAGGGCATATCCTGACCAAAGCAATCGTTAGCGATGGGATTCTGAAGGCGCGTTATCCATGAAATGTTGCCCGTTGGACGTCTTATATAGACCTCGGCCCAGCCAGTGCACGCACGCACACAAACTGGCTGCTGCACAATTGAAGCCGACTGCGGCGACGGACCCACGCTGGCCGTTGACAGGGATAGGGAATTGCCCAATAGGGATGTGTTGCTGCCTGTGTGCGAGCCCTCGACTAGGTTACTGGCACCCGAAGCTTCCGGATTGGAGCCGCGTCGCGAGTATGCGTCCAGCGAGACCGTTGAACTGTTTGAGATTTGCCGATGCGGATGCGCGGTGGCTGCCGAATTCGATGTAGACGAGGACGTTGTATGATCTGTGCTGCCGGCGCTCTCATTGCCGCTGCTGTGCTGCAAACTCAATTTAGTGTAGCGGCGTTCCCGCTCCGGCGACATAGGCGGCTGCTGTGTGGCATCGTTAAGACTCTTCGAGTTTAGACTGATACTAGGAGCTTTGCCTAGTTGCGCACAGCGTTCGCAAAGGCCGTTCCGCGTAGGTCCCGATGGGCAGCCCGATGTGGTAATTGTGACCAAATTGTGGCCCACCAACCACGTCTGCGAGACACCATCCTTCAGCAGATACTCAACGGCCGGCAGGCTGCAAACAAAATATTTATAAATAAAATTAATCATAGACTACAAAATTTCACACTCACCGCTTAGGTAAGGAGGGGCACGGCGAAAATGTGTGTCGGGCTAAAAAATCAAAGCATGTCTCAGCCAACTCGGCATGAAAATCGCGTAGCGTGTCGTTTATCAGCAGACGCATCTCGGAGTCGTTGCGGGTGGTCGCGGTATTCCGACTGCCTCGCTCCGTTAGACTGGTACTACGCTTGCGACTGGTGGAATCTTCATTCGAGTTGCCTACATCATTATTGAGCATCTTGGCATTCGACTGCATGGACTGCTTGGACAAGCAAATCAATTGATCAATTATTTGTGCCAAATGGTTTTGTGTCAAGGCATTCACCTACCGATTTAATGTAGCCAACATAATTTTTGCGCAGTTCGAGCTTGCACTTAAGAAACCAGCCCGCAATCACATGATGAGCCAGTGATACGGTATAGTGGTCGTATCTGTGCGGCTTTGTGTATGGCAGCGATATGGCAAACACATACATGTTTTGCTGGGGGGTAAAGTTCGTAAACAGCTTGTTCGATAGATGGATCAAAACTGTCGATCAAACAGAAAACAAATAGGTTAAAAAAAGGGTAGCAAGACGAAACTAAACATTTACAAAATATCCTCGGTTAAATTATTTAGGATGAACAAGAGGTGATCATTTCTAAAATCGTTTGTTTCAGTAGACAAACCCGCTTTATGGGGCCGTTTATACTAAAGTATTTGTTCAGTCTGGTAAATTTGCCAGCTGGTTTGACAAAATATCCTCCTGCTTCATAGGAATAGGCTAAAACAGATACACTCACGGGATAAAAACTCCAAAACTGGTATGGCCACCGCGTTCGTATCGGACACCTTGCTGATTTCAAGTAGAACGTCTGGAAGCTTGCGCATAAGGGCTTCGGGCGTCTCCAATATCAGAATAGTCATTGTATTGATGCAGATACTGGCCATGCCTGGTATGCGGGAGTTCAGGGCCGTAATGATGCTTAAGTGGTGTTGCGGCTGCAAGCACTCGTGATAAATGACCAGGGATGCTATTGCGGGCATCACAAGACCTTGGAACTCATCGGTGGGTCGATTAAACCTTTCCTTGCTTTCGGTGACATTGATTTTTTTTAATAATGTACTGGCCAGCTTTTCAATATCGTTGCCCTGTATAAGTGCCTTGTTTTGGAGCACTTTGGGTAGCTCCCTGATGACCAGCTGAAAAACTTGGTAATCAGAGTCATGCTCCAGACAGCGCACAATCAGATTACAGGCGTGTCGTATTGAAATTGTTGTGGTTTGCGTTTGCGGTGGCAATGGCGAGTCGATGCCCAAATAGTGGCTAAACTTCAGGGTTTCGGTGCTGCTGTCAGGATAGCCAATGTGATAGGAGGCATTGGCACGTGCCTTGAGCATCCAGTTGAATATCTTTAATGTAATTATATACGAGGTTAGAGATATAGCAAAAATGTAGTTATTATCCTTCCACTCACCTTAAGGCGAACAATGCGTGCCCGTTCAAAGACCTTTGGCCGGTCGTAGTGCAGCTCCAGATGATCGGTCAAAATATTGAATATCTTAATAGCATGAGCGGCAGGCAGGCGATGTAGCTTAATTTCAAACACCTCAACAAGCCCATCGATGGCAGCTATAATATCGCCAATCTCTGACTCAGTCTTTATAATAATGCTGTTGCCCGCCTCTGATGTGTTCGCCTCTGTTGCAACTTGACGCATCTGTTCGAACGGTCGATTGATGAGCGCCTCCAATATGTCTAACAGCTCCAAGCATCGTTTTGAATCACAATGTGCTGCAAAGTTAGAGAGCGCACGAGCCACCGTCGTGCGTACCTGCACGCTGGGCTCTTGATGGATTTGCGCCAGCTGTGGCACAACAACGCGATCCAGTATCTCTTCCTCATAGCTGTAACGATTCTGGTTCATGATCTGCACCAGCGCATCGATAGTTTTGATGCGCACATTCACATTGGACATGCGATAGTATCGGTGCACGAACTGGGTCAAGCCCAAAAGCCATTCCGGTCGCGTGGCAGTCAAGCGACGAGTTCGATAGTCGATCAGGGCCAGCACAGAGGCCTCCGAGCGGCGATCAGCGACCCGCTCGATGAGATCATAAATACGATCCACATTGCAAAGTATTTGTGCGCGATCATCTTGAAGCAACTTCTCAATGCAATCAATATTTTCGTGGAAATTAATTTGTAAGTGACACAGGCGATCCTTATTAACACCCAAACGCTCTGCAAGATTGGATTCATTAAGCAGGGAGCACAGCGGTCAGCACAATACGCACCATATTCCTCAATATTGTCCACAATCGCCGACATAATATCACAGATCAGATCCCATATTATCTCGGACAGCTTATATTTGCTAATCACCATCCGCACACTGAGAATTACCTCATAGGTCACAATCACCTCGTGGCTATCCAATGCCTAGAATAATTTAATAATTAATTAAAACTTATTGAGCAGTGTTAATAGATTCTCTTTTACTCACATTCCGGAAGCCCATTAGCACATTTGTTGCATAAATCATCGGAGATACCTGAAAAATGATAGTCGAGCCAAAGATGTTCATGTTGAGATGAAAGACCGCTCCACGCAACAGTTGTGCATCCTCATATTGACCCTTATCGTTGAGTATGTTGCACATCAATTTCATCGAGCCATAGCCAAGCTGGGTGCCCAACAGATTCTTCATGATCTATATATATATATATAATATTAACATACAGATAAAGTCTAAGGAATCTCGACTAGGCGATATTTATTGCCTTTTTGTTTTTTAAGATATCTTCAACAACCTTATCAAGTTGGACTACTTTATTATATGTAAAGAAGCACTTCTTATGTCTTTCTTGTTATGTGAAAAACTTGAAAAGTGTCAGTTGATCAAGTTATTTTGTACGTCACATATTATTTGGCACAGCTTGGAAATTCAATAATAAAATCTTAAAAATCATGAAGAAACAGATTGTCAGGGAGTTCATAACGGTCAAGAAGGTGCGATATCTGCCGCGAGAGCCGCCACCACCTCCTCCACCACCGCCGCGGCGTGTCCTTGTGGTAGGCCGATGTGCATTGGATGTTATCACTATATGCAATGAACATCCTATTCCCGGCACCAAAGAGCGCACCACTGAGGGTTTCTGGCGACCCGGCGGCTATGCTACCAATACGTGTTGCGTTCTGAGGCGTCTGGGCACCGACTGTGAGTTCCTTGGCCTTTTGAGCAGCGCGCCCGCTTTCGAGAGCATTCCGACCAGTTTTCAGGCCATGGGCATTGACATTTCCAACTGCCCGCGTTCGGCCCAGCAGCCGCCGCATCGCGCAATCGTCGCTGTGCGCGGCAAGCAGACGCGCACCATTGTCGAGTACACGAACCGAGACCACGAGCTCACCTATCAGCAGTTTGTGGGCGCCGTTGACTATCGCAAATACTCCTGGATACACTTTGAAGCGAGGAACAACAGGGAAACGCTGCGCATGATTCGCGCTGTGCACGACTACAATGCACGCAGTCCGGACGAGGACATTCTGTTGTCCGTCGATCTGGCCGATATGAAACCACTTAGCCTTCTCGTGGCCGACTTGGCGAACTATGTGCTTATACGTAAGCGGGTCAAGAAGAAAAACGGCTATATGAACGGTCGAGAAACTGTGTGGGCAGTGCGTGAACGCATGCAGGTGGCACGCAAGCGCTGGCAGGCAATGCAGCCCAAGAAGAGTCCCTATATAACCGAAGATCAGCCACAACTAGACACAGCTAAATGCGAAAATGGAGAGCGCGAGCCTTGTCTAATATACGATAACTACGAAGAGGGCGCCAGTTGTTTGGGTCCTGATAACACCTACTTCAAAGTGGGCGGTCACAAGCCGCCAGAAATTCTGGACACCATTGGCGAGCACGAGACTTTCGTCGGCGCTTTCATTTATGCCATGCAAGGCAACAAAATGTCATTGCGCGATGCCATGGAATACGGCACTCGGGCGACCGTCTTCAAGATTGCCCAACGTGGGTTCGATGGCCTGCGCTGCATGCCCAAGGATTTAATTAGCTGTTATTACGCTTGAAACGTTGCTGACTTAGTAAGAAGTAAACAATTCGCTAGCTTGAAATGCATATAGACCCGGTCTCGGTAAAAGAAAATTTATAAATTTAGTTTCAATATGAATTTGATATATGTCATTTATATATATATAAATATATATATAGACTAAGACCTAACCCGATTAGCATTTAAATTCGATTCATTTATTTAGATCTTTAACTTTGAAAAAATTGAAATACGTTTTAGATTTTAGATGGGAGCATTATTAGACTGTTTAGTCAATGCATTTCAATTGCTTTTGGGGCAATGTAAAGTTTAAAAGTGAATCATATTCTCGACCCAGATGATAGTATGATCACATTATCTTGTGCATGATGATACACATTTTGGGAGTCGGCAATCATTGGGGAATTCTTTCATTTATTTTGTTGTTTACGCTGATTAATTATCAACCCGTTTGACGCTAGATACGAAATTGTAAACACCCAAACGGATCAGATAAGGCGTAAGAAAACGTTGACTAACAATCAGAATTTCATTAGCATAAGGAAACAAATTGTAACCCTTATGTTACCAGGTTTCCATCGGAAATGAACTGATAAATTCATAGCCCATCTAGTACAATAAAAGTAGAGCCGACATCAAAGCTGCGAGGCATTCCATTCAATTCTCCAGACATACAATTTTGAATACACAGATCACAGATGAAGAGCAGTAAGTCGTATGGGTCGCACTTCGATTTCGGATTACATTCCATTCAAATATCAGGGATAGAGAGAAAGATTCCTTATCGAAAACTTGTCTACGTTTCAGAACTGCAACAACTGATCATAGTCCTACTGCTGCATTTGGTAACTATTAAAGCCACTTCTCGAAGCGACCTCTTGCCCATCGAAAGGCTGTGCCGCAATGCGCTGGTGTGGACTCTATTGCCGGATGAACAACATTGTGACAGATTCTATGTGTGCACGGGTAGAAAGGACCACAACAGAAGCTATCAGGAATTAAGATGTGAAGCGGGTTACCACTTTAGCAGCTATGAGCAACGCTGCATAAGGGGCGCATGTTCCCAACCTGTCACCAGAACCTGCAATGCAACCGGCCTCAACAACGTGCAACGCCTGCTGGGCGATTGTACGCGCTTTGAGCGTTGCTCGAATCGCGGAGAGCTCGCCCTTGTCAAGTGCCCGTACGGACACTACTTTGACGCCGAGCGACACGCCTGCCTGCCGGTGGCCATAACGCCGTCTCATCAGTGCAGCTGCATACTGCCGGAGCATGCTCCGCTGGCCAATCTGGAGGACTGTCGCAGCTACTATCGCTGTACAGAGGGCCAGGCCGTGCTGCAGCAGTGTCCGCAGGGTTACTATTATGAGCTTAGCGTGAATAGCTGCCTGCTGGATACGAGGGGTGTATGCAAGCCCGAAGAACCAGCGCCTCTGCTGGGCGAGACATTGCAGGAGTGTGACAGGGAAGGTAGCCGATTGGTGCCGCACACTCAGGACTGCAGTCGGTATTTTGTGTGCATCGGCAGCCGGGCCATCGAATTGAGTTGCCCCAAAGGCCAGTATTTCGATCTGGTATCGCGCTATTGTACAATTGATAAAAATTTCCAGTGCCTCAAGCAAAGCACTGGCACGGAACCTATGACAACTGCTTCACCTGCCACGACAAAGGAAGTCAACAGCAGCAAGCCGGCACAGAAGTTGAATAGCAATAAGCCAGCATTTGATGTGATCGGCAACAAGTTGTCATCAAAATTTCTGTTAGTTTAAAACTACGTGGCGATATCTTACTTGGACTGAAGTGCCCGAAAACCAATCAAACCGAAGCCCGAACTGAAATGTTTTGGTCAAGAATAAAACACTTTTGAAGAAGGTCTCAGCCCCAAAGCATAAATAACCTGGTTGATGCCATTTTTGGGTAGAGATCAAATTTAGACTTTTTAGTTAAACGGACAATATTTAATTATTTTATAACCATTTAGAAAATATAACACAAAGCATTGCTTCAACCAAAATTTCGAGTTTGTGGATGTGGAAAACAAGCTACACAAAGTGAAGCTAGAAGCAGATGGGCCGTGCGACCACTTTCTTGGGTTTGCGGCCCTTTTTTAAGAATCAACAGCCCTTTTTTTTAATAAGTAATTAAAAGTGTTGACATACCTTGAACGATGCTTGGCAATATTTCGAATTGTTGACGGTGCGGCAGAGTGTAACAATACACTGGTGAAGCGGCTCGCTGGGGAAAATTGTATATCCGATGACCATCTCCAAAACCGTCAAGCATTGCAGTCCGATATCATCGTTGGCCACAGTGCAGCTCAAGTCGCAAGCATTTCTGAAAAGAACACAAATATACAAATCCAATCAGTCGATTCAGTTTAAGGTGGAAGTCAAATGCCACCCACTGCACTATTCCCACGAGTATGTCTTTGTCCAGGTGTGCTGCATTAAACTTGATAAGATTAATCATCATGTCTAAGAAGGGGCACAGCAAATTGGCGTCTGCGATGGCCGGTATCCAGAGCAGCATAAATTTGCCAATCTGTGACAGATAATTAACAATATTACTATATATATATTATATCGACTGTCGTCGGATACCTTCTCCTCGAAATTGGTAATATCCTTGCCGTTTTCTGTGAGGGTGTCGAGCAGTTCCAGGAGATGACGCAGATCCTCGTGCGCCTCATGATTCTGTATAACAAGAAAGAACTTTTCACGCATTAGCGTCAAGTTTTTGTATTGCGTAGAAATGAGCCGCTTATAAAAGCTCAATGCAATCTGCCGTGTTTCAGCCGGTTTGTTGGGCACAATGAGATCGTTGGTCAGATGCCATAGCTTGGTTATATAGGTCTGCATGGATAAGAGAAACACAATTAGAATGCTGAAGTGGCGAAGAGCAGTGCCGCCCTCTTACTTCGTCCAAGGTAATGTTCTGCAAATGCATGTCGCCCAATTCCTTAAGCATTTTACAGCGCTGGGCAATTGGCTGCTCTGGCCGCAACTCCAGCTCAAACTCTTGACGCAATGTACGCTCGACGGCATTTCCTAGAGATATGCAGATAAATAAAGCAATTGTTTGCAAGAAATGAACGGATTCACTTCGCTTTTGCTTACCTGGTGGTTTCTTTAGAAATATCTTGAACTTTGATTTATCTTTGGAGCCCATCATAAGGCCCGGTGTTTGCGTTGCAAGACGCACAAAAATCTATGCTATACTTAAAAATCTCACACTTTAATTAAAATAAATATATAAAAAACACATCTGTTACGAAAAGCAGCTGGAAATTGTACCAATGTGCCCCAACTGATTACAATAACAAGAACGCAAAATAAGGGTACTCCAATACAAAAAGAATACCGAAAACTAACTTGCATACGCAAATTTAAGTCTTTTCCAGCCCTGGAGATATTATTCGGCATACACAAACAATATTTCGCAACGACAATGCAAAACTTATTAATCGATGGTTAGATAGGCTAAACTAAATTTTTGAATCGTACATGTACTTTTTTAAATGTTTACTTTGTAAAAAGCTTATTTTTCCCTTATAAAAATATGTTAAATCTAAAATCACATGCATATAAAAAGCTTCAACAACTAGGATTTAGTTAATTACCTGCTGAAAACATTAATAAATAATATATATAAGACCGGTTCCGGAGCCAAGTTCCGAAAGTCAACTCATTTATTTCAGAGAGTCGTTCAATTGAACCTACTCCGAATAATCTGAGACAGCTGTGGCCAGGCAGTCTGCCGGCTAGACAACAAAATATTTTATATAATAGCTATAAAAATAGTTAACAGTATGCCGCGCAATCTCAATGCTGAACGTGACAATCCCTGTCTAAAGGTAAGCATGCTTCTCAAGAAATATGTACAAACATACAACATAATCGTTTTATTTACAGGAACAAGAACTGTCATTCAAATGCCTAAATAAAAACAACTTTGACCGGGAAAAGTGTGAAGTTTATTTTGTTAACTACAATAACTGCAAGGAGTTTTGGGTATGTTGATGTACAACACAAATCATGTGCAACTACAACAAATCCAATCCTCTGCAGAACAAGGTACGCAGTGATCGTCGCGCCAAAGGAATTGTACCCTATCTACCGCCACTTGAGGAGCGCGCGGCAATCAAGGCTGACTATATGAAAACCAAGCCACAAACGAACTGATGTGATATGTAAACAACAAATTATTAAAGTATATTTCTACAAGGTTATGTTTGGTCATGTATGGTGTCGGCTGCTATGACTTTAAGCGGCGGCATTGCCACTTCCAGCATAGCAGCGGCCAGTTCCATTTCGAGCGACTCCTTGGGATCGTTAATGATTAGGAGCTTTAGCTTGGGCAGGCGATATAGACATGCTAGTCCTCTTTCTGTTATGGCAGTGTTCGAAAGATCCAAAACCTCTAGGTGCGGATAACCGCCGCCGGAAATGCGATCCAAGCACCAGTCGTCAAAGGTTTTTACATTGTGAAAGGACAAAAACTTTAGATGCTCCAAGCAGCGCAGGTTTTCCAGTCCCTCATAGTACAGCTGCATGTTGTCGCAGCGCAGCGCCTCCAGTTTGAAGCTGGCATTAAATTTATTGGGAAGATTGAACTCGCCGTCCTCAGAAGCGCGATGCCAGCGATTGTCGTTCAAGAACTTGGCAGCGCCACCGCGATATAATACAAAATGTGCGGCAGCCAGCTCGGGACCAAGTATCTTATGGCGTTCAGGCACAAACTGTTGCATGTGTCGCTCAATGCGCTCCTGGCGTTTGTTCCACCATTCTTTCATGCTCTTGGGGCTCAGATCGATGGGCCGCTGCATCATGACTATGAAATCGGAGTTTTGCTCCGAGTTGGAAAACAGTTTCAATTTACTATTCCAATCCTCTGGCCGGTCACCAATTGGCGTACGCCAGCTCAAGTGCTGTTTGTCCTGGGCCAGCTCCTGACGAATCCGCTTGACAGTTGCGCTGACTTCCCCGCCTTCCGATTGGGGGCTGGGCAGTGTGCTTGCACATCGATATAACATGCTGGCACTTGGCTGCAGACGCCGTATACGGAACAAAGACATACTATTTTGCTTAAGAATTTATCAGACTATTGTTCCGAAAACTGTTGGGACAAAACGTAGTCAGCTGTGGCAACAGCTGGCAGTTAAATTTCAGTATGACAGTATGGCAACGTCGAGCAGACGCCATTTTTTCCTGTCTGATGCAGCCCTGGCCGACTGCGTGAAAAACGTTTGTGCTATTGCAAACGTTTGTAATTATTTTTATTAAAAACAACGTAATATTCCACCGAAAACCCAATTGAAGGTCATATAGATGTACAAAAAGTGCAAGCCAAGACTTTTGGCATAAAGCGTTAAAGAAGGTTGCATACAGGTTGCTGAAAATTACTGGTGAATCAGCAGCTACACATAAACGGGAGGGCAACGGTAGCGTCAGTAAAGCCAATATCTAATTATTATCTACACACAAATCGAAACGCAATATGGTCAATACATCTGGCAGTGAAGATGGCCAGCTGCGGAGCCCCAACGATGGACACTATATCAGGTGTGTAAAAATAATATGTATATGCCAATGTCTATTGAAAATCATATAAAATTGTTGCTGCATACACACACGCATAGACAACACGACTACATTCACATGCATGCGCGCGTGTGGCTGTGTGTGTGTGTGTGTGGGAGCTCCTGTGTATTGAGTGCGGCAACTAAACCATTCTTCTATTTGAAAGCGTTATTTTCTGATGTTTATTTACATATAAAGAAAAAACAATCTGTAAAACATACCATCATCCAATGCCCCACACGGTTCACTGATCACAAGGTTGCGCATTGTGCAGGTCCGTTATTCTGAGTTAAACCATTCTTTTATATTCACATTTTCGACACGAACTTTTTCATCTTAAAATCATATTTGAAGTACGTCTGTTTTGCCATGGGAATTGCTAACTGTGACGTCACAGATGTACAGAAATAAAGACAAATTGCGCACTTTGTAGCACCTGTAGATCACTCAATCGTGGATTCCCTCACACCGACATATCCTTTTTTCGCTTGCTTAATATATGTGCAATGCAATGTACATATATGCATATGTATATTGCCTACCAAATGTTGAATAATAATAACAAAAAAATCCAATTTATTGACTACCATAATTTTGCATATGTACCGTTTAATTGACTTGAGTTTTTTCGTTGCAAATAGGCCAAAAAGTGTGTACTTGTCCCAAAATGACCGAGGCGCGCGATGGCCAACAACTAAAACTAAACTTAAAAAAAAAAACCTATAAAAATACAAAAATACAAATACAAAATAATTATAAAAGCTGAACGCAAGAAATGAAATTCAAATTTAAAGTGTGCCCAGCAGCTCAAGTGTGTAAAATGGCAAATCGGCAGCGAACTGCAGGCCCAGGACATGGCCCCTTCTCAAACACAATATGAAAAGTCAAGCAAAAACCTTTAAATGAGAGAAAGAGAGAGAGAGAGAGAGTGAAACCTCAAAGAGAGTGAAGATCTCAAAGCCTGGCGGTAAATCGAATAAAACTTTCTGTTCAATAACAATGCTAATGCCTTTCCAAGTCCTGTCATCTATATACGCATATTTATACATATATAGATCTAAATCTTTGTCTCTTGTCCCACCTTATTACAAATATATTTCTAGCAGAGTTTGCAGTCGTAAGTTTACATTTTACAGCCCATCGGAATTCAACTCAATGCCTCAAGGAATTGTTTATCTAATTGCCATATTCAAATGGGGTATGCCAGACAGGTAAGTAACTAATACAGTGGAACCTTGAATTACTCGAAATACGTAATTATCTATGCAAATAATATTATTTTCTTTACCATTTTTTGCAAAAAATAAAACTCAAAATTACACAAATGGATCAGAAATATTCGGAGCAGAGTGTAAAGATGCAAAGGTTCTACTCACAATAATTCGTGCACCCAAATAGAGGGATACTGTCGAGCACACATAAGACGGTTCATGGTTCTTTTGAAGAAACCGTCATTTGGTGATCAAATGTGGCGTTAGGATTTAAGCTAAACTATCACACACAAAAAATAAGCCGATATATCTACTTCTACTTATTCCTACGGAAATCTTTATTATTTTGTTTGGAACTGTTGAACGCATTGATGGACACACCTTCGACCACAAAAGTATAGTATAGTATATAGACTGTTTTCAGTTCTATGTTTATAGGTCTTTATTATTCTAAGTAAAGTACACGAGTTAAAGTTGGCAGGATGTTCCTATGCTAAAGGAATTATCAGTCGTATGAAAAATATTTGCATATTCAGATATAGCTCAATGCAATATTTTTCTTTACTATTTTAATGAAACTTCGAGTAGATGTGTATTACATGCTTTAGAGCTGGCAGAATCAAAACACTATATAATAAATATACCTTTTATAAGAACTATCGTTCGTATAACAAATATTTGTTCTTTAATATATCAGCAAAAACAGTCAGGACTTCACTATATTCTCAATACGTTTTCAAATTTTGTCCTTATATTGAAGCAGAAGCTTTTTTAAATCAGAATCTACCGATTTTATAAAATAAACCTAATATAGTATAGGAAATTGTTTTTTTTTTTTGTTTTATCTGCAAGAGTATTTATTGAGAATAATTAACTTACGTTGAGAGCTCCATTCGTGATGCTGAGATTTGCGATTCCAATTTATAAATGTTTAATACTTTGGCTAATTATTATAAAATTCCAATTTTTAAGATTTTTGGTAAGAACTATTCATGCGTATTCAAGGATCCACTGTATACAACTAATGCACATATACAACTTCGTATTATTTGCTAATGTACTACACCAAGCGTTGTTGTTTTTTTTATATTATTGTTGTCCATTTCCACCCAATGTTTAAGCAGTAATTCGCTCTTCCCATGGGGCCTTGAGACTTGAAGCTGACGGGCAACGTAAAATGTAATCAACGACAAGCACTGCAATAACAACAACAACAGCAACAACTAGAGTGAATGTATAACAACAACTACAAGAACTGCTAGAACAGTCAGAGCGCGCCTCGTGGCCCCCATTCAAAACCTGGTCGCACACTTTCGTGGAATCTACGAACTTCAACAATTTATGCAATTGGCGTCAAAATAAGTGTAAAATTCTTTCTTTTTGGTTTTTTTTAGCGGTGAAGACGATCATGACGCGGACGCACTGTACATTCAACCGCCACAGGCAGCCAGCAGTCAGGGCCGAGATCCGGCCAGCACGCGTCGTGAGAAGAAGAAACACTCGCGCGATCGTCGACACAAGGAGCGCAACAGTTTAGAGGGCGTCGAACGGGAGAGGGAGCGAGAGCGTGATCGAGAGCGCGAAAGAGATCGTTATGAGTATCGGGGAGCACGAGAGGATATGGAACAGCGCTATCATCAGCACCATCAACAGCATCGCAGTGAACGAGCCAAGCATCATTTAAGCCACGCCTATCATTACCCGCAACAGCTGCCATTACCGCCGCCTCCACAGAGTTATGTTCATCATCACCACCATCATCAGCAACTAATGAGCTTATCCCGTGGGGGCGGACGTACCGATTACTATCATAGCAGTCGGCATGTTGATTATGTGGATGTGGATCAACCGCCGCCGCCTCCTCGACGTGCTATCAAACATGCCTACGAACAGACCAAGGATGCTGAGAGCCTGGAGCAGGATCTGCGTTCACGGCTGCTCAGCAAGCGGCACAAATATGTCAAAGACTATGAGTCGGAGGAGAACTATGAGCAGCTGCAACCGTCGTATAGTCGCCGCAAGGATCGCGAGTCACGACGCGGCAGCCACAGTCATAAACTACGTCATGGCCAGGTCATTGAGCTGCTGGACAGTCCCGAGACAGCGGCGGCGACTCAGCATCATCGCAGCAAACAACAAAAACGTGCCGAAGCCGAGGAAGCCGTAAATCCGGCGCTACAACGCCGCACAGCAAACAATGATCCAGAGCTGCTGGCGCGGCGCGAGAAGATTCTAGCAGCCGAGCGAGAGAATCGCCAGCGTAAGCAAATTGCACGCGAGGAACTGGAGGCGCGTCGTGAACAACTGCTGCGCGAACGGAACGAGCACAGTGATGCGCTCAGTCCCAGCGCCGTGGCGGCCAGTGTGACGGCCGGCCTTCATATAGTCAAGCGCAAGCAAAAAGTGAAGATGGAGGACGCTCATTACGAGCGAAGAAAGCGTATCAAGCAGACAGCTGAGGAGAACAAGCGACAGACCCAGACCAAGCAAAATGATGATGGCAGCGAAGAGAGTGAAGAATCTGACTCCGAGGAGGAGGAGGAGGACGACGAGGAGGACAGCGGCAGTGCGGAAAGTGACAGCGATACGGCAGACAGTGCAGACAGTAGCTACGCCCAGGAGCCGCACAAGAAGAACAAGCGAAAACGAAAGCTGCCCGATGATGAGGAAGATGTTCCACTGCCAGATAGTCCACTGAGTGTGGGCGCTCTATACAAATCACCCAAGCAAAGGCCACGCACACGTTCCGCCAGCTCCAAGAGCTCGGAGCGCAGTCATAGCAGCGCAGCCAGCAGCAATAGCAATAGTCGACACAGCAGCCGAAGCCACAGCAGTCGCAGTCGTTCGCGCTCGCCAGCCAGCAGCCTGGGCGAGAGGCAACGCTCGCGCAGCAGCAGCACGCGCAGTGAGGAGCGCGGCATGGCACAACAGCAGCAACAGCAGCTGCTGGACAACATTGAGACCAGTATCACGGAAAAGCCGTCCAAGGCACCTGTTGAGGACCTGCCGCCCTGCGATGACAAAGGCGTACCGCTGCCTAACTATTATCCAGGTGTGCAGGGCTGTCGCTCGGTTGAAGAGTTTCAATGCCTCAATCGCATTGAGGAGGGCACCTACGGTGTCGTTTATCGTGCCAAGGACAAACGAACCAACGAGATTGTTGCCTTGAAGCGTCTCAAAATGGAAAAGGAAAAAGAAGGCTTTCCTATAACATCCCTGCGTGAGATAAATACGCTGCTGAAGGGCCAACATCCTAATATTGTGACTGTGCGTGAGATTGTCGTTGGCTCCAACATGGACAAGATATTCATTGTCATGGATTATGTGGAGCACGATCTAAAATCTTTAATGGAAACAATGAAACAGCGCAAACAGAGCTTCTTTCCGGGCGAAGTTAAGTGCCTTGTCCAACAGCTGCTGCTCGCTGTCGCCCATTTGCACGACAATTGGATCTTGCATCGAGACCTGAAGACCTCTAATCTGCTGCTTTCCCACAAAGGCATTCTTAAGGTCGGTGATTTTGGATTAGCCCGCGAATATGGCTCACCACTTAAGAAGTACACCTCCTTGGTAGTCACGCTATGGTATCGGGCACCAGAGCTCCTGCTCTGCTCCCCGGAGTACTCCACGCCCATAGATGTGTGGTCTGTGGGCTGCATTTTTGCCGAATTTCTTCAAATGGCGCCACTCTTTCCGGGCAAATCGGAAATCGATGAGCTTAATCGCATATTTAAGGTAATGAACAGTATAATTAAAAGGTATTAGAACTGTTTGATTCCATTTTCTTTTTATTTTAGGAACTCGGCACACCCAACGAAAAAATCTGGCCTGGATACTCGGAGCTGCCGGCCGTCAAGAATATGTTAAGCCAAAACTCACAGTTCACGGATTATCCGGTCTCGCAGCTGCGCAAACATTTTCAGGACAAAACCTCTGATGCGGGTCTAGGACTGCTGCAGGGCCTGCTGACATACGATCCAAAACAAAGACTGACTGCTGATGCGGCGCTTAAGCATGGCTACTTTAAGGAGCTACCCCTACCCATCGATCCATCCATGTTTCCCACTTGGCCCGCCAAGAGCGAGTTGGGCGCACGCAAAGCGCAGGCTTCGTCCCCAAAGCCACCATCCGGCGGCTCGCAATTCAAGCAGCTGGGACGTGATGAACCCATGCCGACAGCAGCTGTTGGTGGCGGTGGGGCAAAGCTCGCCTCGGGCATTATAACTGGCAACAAGAAGAGCGGCGCAACGGCGGCCAGCACCGGTTTTGTGTTAAACGCGGGTCTAACGCAGCGCCAGCTGGCAATGGGTCCCGGCTTCAGCTTAAAGTTCTGAGACAGATTTTGTGTATACAGATTTGTAGCCAATTTGAATAATTGTTATGTATAGTTTAGCGTGTAAGATGAAAAAAGAGGAAACAAAAAATATCGTTTAATGTATGTGTACAAATATTGTTCCAAATATAATTTAAAAAGCCATACAAACACACAACATACTAAAAAATCTCACCATCTAAACCAGCATGACAGAAATCTTAAGAGGATGTCAGCAGTAATCTCCTTACTCCATCAATTTCTCTCAACCTGTGCGCAAATCGCCCACTAATCCATTCATTACTTTATAACTTAGCTTAAAACGGAATACTTGTTATAGAGCCTCAAGTGGACCACAGATAAAAGTAGGTGTTCTGCCATTGCGGAATGTATTCGCGCAGGGGTCCGGCCACCAATTTGACAAGGGGCACATGCTGCCCCACGAAGCTCAAAATTCGTTCGATGCGCGTCTTGCTGTAGTTATCATAAAAGGGCGAACGCACGAGGAAGTACAACAGATTGATGCAGCGTCTGCTTAGCTCCAGTTTCTGCTGCTTGGACATAAGATGCCTATGCTGGCGATACAGATGTACGCTATACAAATCAAGGGACAGTGCGATCATGTACTGCTTCCAGCTGCGCTGACCGAACAAGCCCATGGCCGTCAAATGGATGAGCGGTTTGGCAATGTACAAGTATTCCGCTTGGAGTAGCTCGCGTGGTATTTGTGTTTTGGCCGCATCCGCATTGTCCACATGCAACTTAAAGTCACGGTATTGTATGGGCGGTGCGCCCTCAACTTTACGTATAAGGCGGCCGGAACGTTTCAATTGAAACGTTATGGAATGCTCCGACTGGGCAACAGATGCCTCCGGTGTACGCTGTTTGCTCAGTGCACGACGGTTCAAAGCTGCGATGGGCGGTGACGTGATAATGTCCGAGGTGGAATGCTTGAGCAGAAACAAACGGCCAGCTGCTTTGAAGACTTGTATGAGCGCTATCACCAGCCATTTGCCCGTTTGGCCAAACAAGCGTCGCGCTGATATCTCGATAAACACCTCAGAGTATTCGAGCGTCGTCAGCGTGACCTTTAGACGATAGCAAAGGCCGGACTGAAGCCGGATTACGGCGTTTTCGTTGGCACCACGTGCCTTGTCGATAATGCGATCGTTGTAGAACACCAGCATATTGGATAACGTGTAGACTAGCTCGGAGAGTACATTGGAGTTCGATATGCGACCTAAATGAATATGAATTGCATCACCAAGTCCGAAAACCGTTTCTTCAATAGGAAAAGTTTACCTGCCACAAAATATGAAACCCATTTGGCCGTAGTCTCGAAGTCGCCGACTACATCGGGATTTTTGGCTACCCATGCCTCGTAGGACTTAAGTAAGCCTTTTAGCTGGTCCATTACGAAATAAACACGTTCTACTCAAAGAACACCAATCGAATTGCCGTTCTTTGTTTTCTTTAACTGCGGTGCAAATGCAACAAACCAGCTTTACCATTCGCCCCGACGGTATGACATTCGGATCAATTTTAAATATATCGATAGACATCGATATCGATATACTTTTTTGGCGCCAGTCGAAAATGAAAAGAACATTTCTAACTGTGCGGTCGGCTCCCTTTACCGAATTGATTTCAAATTTATTTCATATATATTTTAAGCCTTAAAGTTATCCTTCTCCTTACGTAACATCTCCATGGTTATAACGGGATTCGTCTGGCCACCGGCATGCTGCTGCACGGTAGCCTCATGTACGCGCATGAAGGGATTCCACGACTTTTCCTCGCCGATTGTCGAAGGCACTGTGGGATCTTTCGAGGCGCGACGCAACTTGGCCCATTCAATGCGGGTCTGGATACACTTATTGTCCGGCTCAACATGGCGTGCAAAGCTCATGTTCTGCAGCGTATACTCATGGCCACAGAAGACCTTTGTGTCATCCGGCAAGGCGGATAGCTTGGCGCACAGGGCATCGTACATTTCCTCCGGAGTGCCCTCAAAGAAACGACCACAGCCACCTTGGAAGAGGGTGTCGCCGGTAAAAACGGCGCCAGGGTCATGGCTATTTGAAGCAGTTACATGATAGCATATATGTCCGCTGGTGTGGCAAGGAGTCGACAAGCAGCGCACATTGAGATTGCCGATGGTAAAGGTGTCGTTTTGGCGAACTTTGCGATTCATTGCACCGATTCTGTCGTCGCCGCCGTACACCTGTAGTTCACCTGTCCACAGCTTAACGAGCTTCTCATTGCCGCCTGCATGATCCCAGTGATGGTGAGTCGTTAGCACCTTATTCAATTTGACATTCTCCTCCTGCACGGTCTTGATGACCAGCTCGGGATCTACGGGATCCACCACAGCTGCCTCGCGCGTCTTGCTGTCCACAATCAGATACATGTAGTTGTCCTGGAGAGCAGGCAGGATTTTCACCTGCATGCTATCCAGCTTAACGTCCTCCAGTGAGCTATGCATTCCCCTAAAGCCGACGGTCCTCACCTTTTGCACTGCAAAGCGAGTAGGCAAATTGGAAAATGTTTTAGTTGCGACGATTTAAGTGCGCAACGGCATGCAAAAAATAAATAAGCACATCAAACATAGATTAGATTAAAGACAATAGATTACAATTGACGCGACAGAACGGGACAACCAGAAACCGTTTTAATGATCCAGCACCAGCACCAGCAACAGACGCAGTGAATGCAACGCCGCGCGCTGCTAATTTGGACGAACCTCGAAAGTAGTAGGAAGTCAATTGGGTTTCAATGCTGGTGGCCACACTTTTCCAGACTGACGAAAACATTTAAGCACTTCAATTTTGCCAGCTGCTGTATTTATAACCTAAGGCACTAAATATTTCTTATTTACAGTTAGATTTGTCACCAGAAAAATGCCGGAACAATTGATATATTATATGTGTTTTTTTTCCTGTGTCAGCTTGTCAAAGCTCTAGAAGCTCGATAACAAAACTATCGATACACACATTCGCCAGAATGTTAGATTATGCTGGAATGACAGCTGATATTTATTTTTGGCACGTTCAATAACACCAGTGGGAAATAAAACTAGAGCTGAAACTAGTTTGTCCGTGATTCTGGGTTATCCGTTATGTTATAATTTTTAAAAACACATTTATTTAAAGATTCGTGTAAGGTAGTCTGTTTGGGTTTCACTTTTATACCTCTTTATTATCGGTTAGCTGCTATGAAAGCTTATTGATAATTGAGGGAAATCACACTTGATAGAGGATAAAATTAACCTCTCCCTATCCGGGTTAACAGATGTTCCCGGCTTAAAGCATTCCGTACAAGAGACTTGAATAGCTTCTCTATATACGGGTGAAAACCATTTTGGCCAGATGTCCGGAATTAATAGTCCCGTATGTCTCTATTAGTCGCCTCGTACGACAAGCGATGACATGCTGTGGAGGTATTCTGGTGCCCGCCAACCACACGGGCTGTGATCTTTGCTTAGATTATGTGTATTGCATCCTATGTACATAAGCTGGGTTTCTTATGTCATTTAAAGCCCGGCATATTTGTAAACGAGTAACATAATAAGTTGGGAATGTCTGATGCTGGTGAGCTGAATTCATCGCAGTCGCATTCCCAATTGATTGAGGTGCAGGTACATCATGTGGGTGTTACGGCCAAGCTGCAATCGCCTTTAAAAAAGCTACTGCCCCAACTGAGCAGCTCAACGGAAACGGAACTGTTTCAAACAACCAAATCGCAGTACAATATGTTTGAGAACGAACAAGGACAAGGTGATACGACGGCGACGACAACAACTGGCCTGTCCAGTCCGTCGCGAGTGCTCTATGAGATGCATGCGGAGCCGGAGAAGCATCTAATCAAACCGAAACGCATTGAGTTCCAGCGCTATTCCAAGGGCAAGTGCACCCGATTCGCGGTGCCGCCGCGCCAACGTCCGAGTAAAGCCAAACAATATGCGCCCACGGCAAAGGCCCTGCAGGAGCAGCAGCAGCAGCAAAAGCAGCGCCAGCAGAAGCAGCAGCAGCAGCAGCAGCGTCCTGGTTTCCTGGAGCGCCTTGTCGCCTCGCTGGATAACATGTGCAAGTGCCAGCCACAGCATGCACACAATATCATCGACGATCTGCCGTCGCCCAAGTGGAACAAGAAGGCCGCCTCCCGACACACTTGCATTGGCGTCTATCCGTTCGAGCACGGCTGTGCGGATTACTTGAGCACCACGGACACACATCCAAAGATTAACTCGATCATGCTGGCGGATCGGGCCACCACCTATGCGACACACTTCTGGGCCGAATTCTTTGGCCTGTTGCACATTGGCGTCGCCTTCGTGGTGGCCTTTGTGCTGCAATGCTACAGATTCGTGCTGTACTCGGTGATCAATACCCTGATCGTGGGCCTGCTCCATACGACCTCCGACTATTTGGTCAAGCCGGCGTTGACCGTTGCCTTCAATGGCTTCCTGCAGCCGCCTATGATATTTCTATATAATGTGATGTGCTCGTTGCGCGACATTATGGAACCGCTGGCGGACACCTTGGACAACTTCATGAAGCCGTTGGCCACTTTGGGCGGCAGCCTACGTCTGATTAATGTCAACTATCGCAATGTGCGTCGCTTCGCCAAGGATGTATGATTTCTCACGCTTTTCGCACGCATTATCTCACTATTTTCTCAAATTGTACAACTGTTTAAATAAGTTTTGTTTCGTTTCGTTTTGTCTTGTAAAAACTGTCTGTTGTTTCATTCCGTTGTGTTCCGCACGCACAGCGGGTAGGAGGAGCCAGCCTGTCAACCCCTTAAACTCTCTCTCTCTCTCGCTCTCACTCTCACGTTCTCGCTCTCTCTGCCAGCTGCTCTCACAGCAACAGGATTATATTGGGCATACACCTTGGTGCCTACAATACAATCTTACGCATACAGAAACCATATCGGGTTACATTGTTTTTCCACTGCTGTTCACGGAACTGTGCTACCATAACGACCTGGTCGCTGTGCCTGCCTCGCTCTGGGGCTTCCTAGGGGTGGTTGTTGATAGCGCAGTTGGGTGTGGGCTCAATTACGCTGAATGAAACATTTATGATTTATTTGCTCATTTTGTGGCAGCGGCTACGAATGGGGACCGCAACATATGCCCACTATAACGGGTCCTGATTGTTTTAAAGCGACTAATTGTATCCCATGAGAGTGTCTTTATGTCTAATAATTTAAAACTTGGCCTAATGAAGTCCTTATAAAAAGTAGTCAAGAGCAAGGCGAAAAGGGAAAACGAAAAAACACTTCAGGCCCAGCAAAATTCCATATAAAAGATGAGTTTATCACTAGCCTTTCTTTTGCATACAATTTACTTGGTAAAATGCAGAAATTTACCAAGAATTTTCAAAAACCTGAAATCAATTTAAAAGATCTACAAAATGATATTTATCAATGGATTAGCTGCTCTAGTTTCCTCGAACATCCTGGGACATTGAGGACAGTTGTTCGACAATAATATTCTTGGCAAAACTGTAACCCCATCCCCCTCCTATGCCTATTATGATTATAGGCCATGCTTTGGGCATGAAAGGTGTACGAATACTAGAAAAACAATTCAAGCTCCCAATGTATACAAATAGTTTATGTAGTAAATGTAGAAAAGTTTTATTTGTTATTTGGGTAAATGGACACCGAGACCCGGCGTCGCTTCATTAATGAGAATTAATGAGATTGTTGTGCTGCGAGTGTATGAGTGTATGAGTGTGTGCCTGTGTGGGTGTATGTGTGTGTAGACCACTGACTAAGGATCGTTTTACAGCGCACATTCATTGAGCATTGGAACAGCAACACCCACAGCACACACACACACACACAGATGCACAACCCTTTTTGGCGGTATATCCAATTAGCTGTAAAATATATATGTTGGCATATGTTGGAAATTCGTGTGCATTGATTGATTTCCGTAACTAATTGGTACATAGTTTCGTGGTCGTGCTCTGAAAGCTGAACAATATTAATTGGTCTTGATCTTCTTCCTGTTTCTGCTGCTCTAAAAATACACGAAGCTGCGCCGTTTAGCATACGTTTCCAATTCCCAGCAATATTTCTATTGAACAATTGACGACAAGGTGCGAAAATCAGGTTCCCTAAACAGACGCAATGGACCAGCCCCCGCACACACAAAACAAATGCCAGAGTGTTTGCCCATTATTGTGCGATCGACAAGCGGATAAAGGATAGGGGATTGAAGGGACCTGGCACACTGAGATCAGACATTGTGACTACATTTCATGAATGGGCCAGACACTGGCACAGGCACAGGGAGAACATAAGTGACATACACTTTGCAGACGTTTTGTTGGGAATTTTAGGATTACAGCTGTTAAGCTGTTTGGTGGGTTTGTCGCCTTGGCTGCTCTATTTTCCGGGCTATTAGGCTGGGATTATACAGTGCACAGGTTGTTCTCTGTAAGGATTGCGTGGATCTTAGCATGACGTTAGCTAAATTTTGGTCTTTTCTTTTTTTTTTTTGCCCAGAAGTTAAGCAATTTGTGGTAGAGATGACAATGGAAACAGAAATGACAATAGATTGGTTATATAAGAAGTTATGCATAAAGCGTTTTGAATATGAATCCAGGGATTTGTGGACCAAAGGGTGTCAGATAACATATAGAGATTAGGTAGACACGGACACAGTTTAATGAAGGCATTTTCATAATGAAGCTACTTCCACAGAAGCATTAGACTAGAGTTCTTATACACATAAAATGTGTAATTAATCTCGACATTAGGTTGGTTTCTCTGAGAAATTGAAGAAACTGCTTATACGCACAAATTGCATCACTGTCACCAAATCCCCCCTACAGATCCTCGATTCTCACTTAAATGCATTTTCTGTCTACGGCTGGCTGCATTCAAGCGCTGCCCATGCCCTGCATTATAATGTGAATCGGACACCAACCCAGGCAAAAATCTGCTATGCTCGACAAAACATGATAGTGTGGGAATCGAAGCGCTGCGCTTCGCATGGCTCACGAGCTTTTTGGCTTGGTATCGCTTGGCAGCTAAGTCCTGACACGTGATTGTAATAATCAAATCAACAATATTAGCCTAATGCGATTACAAGCCTTTTTTGCGGTCAATTAGAGGGCAACACGCACCCCAAACACGCCCACAGCCCCGTATGCCAGAGTTGCCTGCTGTTTCAAATTAGTTAATCCTTGCTCTCAAGCTGGTCATCGATATCGATAACCTGCGGCGATGTCAACGGTCAGCCAGCAGGACGCCCAGGACACCCAAATCTCACGCCTAGATTGGTGGGCTAACAAAATTAGCCTAATAAGATTGAAGGCTTTTTGTGGCTAATTAGAGGAGAGCATCACATTAACAACTTCAGATCTGCCTGTTGTTATCGATAACAGTAACTGCACCTGTGCGCCTCTCTCTCTCCCCTGCTGTTCTGCCCCCTTCCCCCTAGAATTGATCACTCAATGTTATAAAATTAAGGTTCGAGCTGATGCTGTGACAAATTGAAATCTCTCGTGCGACCTGAAACTGGGACAGGCTCAGGCATTTGGCAGTGTGACGAAATTGTCAACCCTCCTAATTTCAGTCTTAATGAATTCTTTTTAACAACAACAACAAATATATAGAGCTACAATGTGCTGCTGCTGCTGTTGGCAACCATTGTTTAGCCTTTTTGTGGATTTGCTGCCGTTGTCACCTTTGTCATGTCACTATTTTATCACACCATTGAAGTGGCGCACTCTGATTTTAATGCTTGTGAATGGCAGGAACAATTCTGTAATTGAAATTTGATGCCATTAGATGACAGCAACAAAGACAGCAGCAGCAGCAGCAGCAGCGACAGCGGCAACAACACATTTTTTGCAGCGCGCCCCTTTATCAGAGTGTTGTCTCTCTGTTGAGTTTTGTTGCCTGCTGCGGCGGGGCATCAAGTTGCAGCGAGTTTTGGTGACTTTAAAGACTGATTTTATATGCAAACTCTAACAAAATAGCATTGAGCAATGCCAAAGAAATTTGATGTAAATTCTACGAACCGCACACGGCATTCATCAGATACTCATCAGCAGCAAATGAGGTCATCTTTTTTTTTTATTTCAATTTAAATTTCATGTTAAACGTTAGATAACATTCGCACACACACACACACGCGCGCGCGTATCATGTTGTACATGTGTACGTGCAATCAAGTTTATCTGGCCTGTTATTGGCAAATTCAAAATGGCGCCTGCTTTGGCCAGGCAACGCCCACTTGCAGGACAAGGCAATGCGAATAAGCCACCCCTAATTAGCGCGCTCACGCACACGCACACACTCAGACACTCACACATACAGACCCGTGCACAGATACGGCTACATAACACACAGGCAAAGCAGTTAACAGGCGCCTTTACAACGTTCCATTTCCAAACGTTTCAGGCAGCGTGCAGACCCATCGCCACAGCCTTGAATGCAGTTCCATATTCACTCGTCGTCGCTGCTGTCGCTCTCTCTGCCACTTGCAGTTGAGTTTGAAAAGCGAAAGCGTCGCGTTGCTGACAACGGGAAGCCAAGCAAAAATATAACAATTATTAATCTGTTACAAATAATTGTACTTGAATAAACCGTTATTACGCGCATATATCAATTGTCGTGCTCAAACTTCAACAATTTTACGTATTTTGTTATTAAAAATTTCCAATTAAGTGCGCCGAATTTAAGAAAATTAAAAGTGCTGCTGCAACTGTAAAGGTTCAGCATAAAAATATGTTTGAAAAAAATATGGATAGCACAAATCTGTCGGTGTCCATTAACGGCGACTTGGACTCGACCAGCTCCGCCGGCACAGCATCGGATCATTCGGCCGTGCAGCACGATAACATAAGCTCGCCAATGGCCTACGGCTCGCTCTTTCTGCCAAATGCTGGTAAGCTTTGGCTCAAGCCTTATCAGTTTGGCTAGCCAAACTCTAAAATAAATATATATATATAAACATATATGCACATATATATAGATCAAATTACATGGAACAGGCGTCAATGAGGCGCTGCATAAACAATTAAAGCCTGGGATTCTTGTTTTAATGTTAATTTATTTTTGCTGAAGATTTCACATTTTTTAGACGCTGAATGTGCTCGGAAATGTAGTGTAATATACACCTAGACTGTGAAAAGTGTAGGAATAGCTATTCGTAAACTAATTTGAGATAAACTCGGATTTTCGAGTCTTGATGGAATTGTGAAATAATTGTAATTCTAAACAGCAAATCTTATTTGAAACATTAAATTTGTTTAAGATTTAAATACTTTCTCAAAGTAAATTCTTGAGTTCGAGCAGATAGTTGACATTGCCTTTAAAAACAGATTCTACAATCTTCATTGTTTATATTTGAGTACTTATGAATCATTAATAATTATGAATGCGACTTAAAATTTGCCAAAAACTTTAAAGACATTTCCTTATGCAGCTCTAAATCCCAATACTCCGTATCAACTTTGCTATTGACATTCTTGGGTGTACTTTCTGCCTAAGAAAAACACTTCGAATCGATTGTTTTATAATATTTACATAGCATTAATTATGCGATTACCGATCTGTACATATGTACATATGCATATATATAAACGAGTGTATCACATGTCGTTGTATACATTTGCCTTATGTCTCTTTCTGGTCAATATGATATTGCATGCCATGTCTGAAGTCTCAGGTCTGAGGTGTCGAAAATCGCCGAGAGCTTTGCTCATGTGCAGAATTTGATTAGTCACATGCAATTTCGGGGGGGTCGATTGCTCCGATTCAAGGGAGTCTTCTAAGGAGCAGGGGGTGCAGGGAGGGCAGCTAAAGTATTGCTGAGCAGCAAAGTAGCACGTGAGACCGAATTCTCTCTTGCGTCAATATTCGTTGTGCATACAAAAAACAAAAACATTTAACGAATTTAATTATGTTTCAATTATGTTCACACGCACCAGATTTGTGAATTACAGCAGAAATTCTATGATATGATGGCTGATTGTTAGGAACGAGAGGAAAGAAAGACTATATACTGTTAATAGTATTGGAATTTGTTTAATATTCGAATTCTGTTCTATCTTAGGTTATCGCGGCAACATTTCATGTAAAACCGTATTGCAATTGGACAAATTTGCGCCGTACGAGACAAGCGAAAAGGATTTGATCGAACGGCGTTTTCAGGACATCACCAATGACTATGACAAATCGCCGCCGCCCACAGCGGCAACCACGCCCACACACTATCCCACGCTGAACAGCATCATCTTTGAGAACGGCAACGGCAACAGTCTGAGCGATCTCAACGGCAATACCAAAACGGATGCACTCTGTGCGGGACTGCAGCGCGCTCCGACGTCCTTGAGTGGCACAGGCGCGTCCAGTGGGGGTCATCTGATATCCAATTTAACTGCAGCGCACAACATGTCCGCCGTGGGCAGTTTTCCGATCGATGCCAAAATGCTGCAGTTTTCCACGGATCAGGTGAGTCAGTGCCGCACTGTGTCATATGTTTCGGTTCTTAATCGTAGCTCTTCGCTCGTGCAGATTCAGTGCATGTGCGAGGCACTGCAGCAGAAGGGTGACATCGAAAAGTTGACCAACTTCTTGTGCAGCCTGCCGCCCAGCGAATTCTTCAAGACCAATGAGAGTGTGCTTCGCGCCCGCGCCATGGTCGCATATAATCTGGGCCAGTTTCATGAGCTCTACAGCCTGTTGGAGACGCACTGTTTCTCGATGAAATACCATGTGGATTTACAGAATCTCTGGTTTAAGGCGCACTACAAGGAGGCGGAAAAGGTGCGCGGCCGACCCTTGGGCGCTGTGGACAAATATCGACTACGCAAAAAGTATCCACTGCCCAAGACAATTTGGGATGGCGAGGAAACGGTCTATTGCTTTAAAGAGAAGTCACGCAATGCCCTCAAGGATTGCTATCTGACAAACCGATATCCCACGCCCGACGAGAAGAAGACGCTGGCCAAGAAGACGGGCCTGACACTGACGCAGGTATCCAATTGGTTCAAGAATCGCCGGCAAAGGGATCGCACTCCGCAGCAAAGAACGTAAGTTCAACATACAAGAAAATGGAACTATTTTTTTTTTTTCTTCTATGTCGCCGAAAACTAATTACAATATGTTTTCCACATAACTCGTAAAACAATTCATTCAACGCTTCAGAGTGCGCATGTTCCTTAAATAAAAAAGAAAGAAACTCAATTGTTTTCAAAATTGGCATTAAAAAAAATCGTTTAAGTGACCGTAAAACACTTGCGTTTGCCCGTCGCCCGCCCCGTCCCAAGCCCATTCCCAATTCCAGTCCCAGTTCAATGCGGTCCGGTGCCATTTTTCTAAAAGGCACTTGAGCGTGTTTTATGTCCAATTTTGCAGCTCCTTGTGCACGGTCCTATGCATATTTATAGACCTCTTCGGGCTCTGGTCGCCAACGTTGACGTGCCCCGATGCCCGAACTGAGCGCATGCGTGTAGCATGTGCCTCAATTGTAGCCGCACTCCCCGCTGTGTTTGATCGTTTACGGGCGTCAAATTGCATACACTCTCTAACACATACACATATATGTACTCACACACAAACACATTCACATACATTCACTTATTTAAATATACGCATATTTTCTTTCAGTGATTTAATGCTGCCCGTGGGCCAATTAGATGCCAATAGATTCCCGCGCATGTTCAACGCCCCCAGCTATTATCCCGAATCTATATTCAACGGACAGTAGAGTGCGTTGTAGAATCTAAATGCGCAGGCGCTGCTTTGTAAATACAAATTTTAATGTTATATTTGGGTCATCAAATGACGATATGTTTCTAGTTGTAGAGTAAACTTTAATTTGCTTTATGTACTGTACAATAATAATAATGCAATTGCAATAAATAAATATAGAAGAAACCCAAATTGAATTTTAACGTTTTTTTTCATGGTTGGGTAGCACTTTTCAAAATCAACACCAAACTATCGTAAAATTATAAAATATCGATAGGAGGCATATTAAATAATTTACGATTAGTTCGACACTTCCATTCTCCTTAAGACCAAAACAAGGCCACATTATCATATATTGAAATCACTGCATTAAGAAATCAACTATATTGTTTCCAATAATTCCGATGGCATTTCAATAATTTTTTAAAACACATTTTCAAATTTCTTGTAAAAACAATTTCAAATAAAACTCACCCGTTTTCAGTGTGACCGTAACCAGTCTTAAGCTGTTGACCTCATAATATATATGAAAAATCGATTTTGTGTGTTATCGGTTCCGCTTTCGATTATTTGGCAGGTGCTAAAAGAGAAAAGAAAAAACATTAAAGCATTGAACACGGAATGACAAACAACTCAAACGGTCGATTAAGCGAATACTTCGCCAACGATCCGCCCAGTTTTTTTGATGAGCTGACAAATAACAAATCAAGACCCAAGGAAACGCAGCCAGCGAACGCAGCTGAATCGAACAGCAGCAATATGTTGGCCAGCACATTTACGGGCAGCTTTCAACCGCCCGAGTATGTAGAAGCTGCCGAAGCGGATGAGCCTATAACAGTAAATGACGAGGTGCGTAACCTCTGGCAGCTACCCACTCCAAGTGAACCGGGCAAGCAGCCAGCACATCTGATTACTCCAGGCTTACACATAGCAAACGATTTGGTAAATAATGAAATATTTAACTACGTATCTAAATCTAACGCTCAACTCTCGTAGCCTGATCCCATAAGCATTGCGGTGACTCAACACTTGGGCCAAGCTGAATTGCAGCAACGCAAAATCCTTGGAGTGGAGGATGTCACACAAGACGAACGTGGCATACGGACGCTTATAAATGCCGGCTGCTTTCGCGCTGCTGTCAATCTGACGGGCCGACTATTGACCATATACGGCCAGGGCTATGGACGTGCTGGTCAGCCAGCCAAGCATTCGCCACATTCACTGCAATTGTGGTTCACACGCCTCGCATTGCTGGCCAAGCTGGGCGAATATGAGCTACTGCAGGCAGAAGCTGAACCCTTTGCCCAGCTGAACGGGCCGGATGTATTTTACGAGTATTACACGGAGATGTATAAAGGAAAACACGGCTCCATAGCGTGTTTCTCGTTTCGGCTCCTGTTGGCCGAACTGCCCATCTATCTAGGCAAGCCGCATCTGGCGCTGGATCGCTTGTCCGAACTACATGTGATCAGCCATGAAATCAAGGAGCATTTTGATAGATTAAAGAATGCAAATTCAGCTGAATTTTGGCAGCGGCGTGCCGAGCGTGTCTTGCAGTCAATAATCAACTGTGCCCTAATGGTCAGTGAGTTAAGGAAACTACAAAAGATTCATTCAATAACTTTGTTCTCTTTTAGATGAAAAAATTCAGCATGATTGATGACATTATGGGCGGAATGCTGCTTACACGCTCTACACTTAGCAAAGAGGAACAGCGCTCCCTTTATTCGGCTTGGGGTCGCATTTATCTACAAATTGGTGATATATTTGGGGCAGAGCAAAAATTTGCCGTCTCCCGGCGACTGCGTGAGATGTGAGTCAGTTTATTAATGGGTTTTTTCAACCTTATAGAATATTCTTTTCTTTTATAGTAATTCACCACCTGATTTGCGTGATCTGGTGGACAAGGGGCTTATTGCCGTGGCCAAAAATGATTTTCCAGAGGCCTATCTAATTTTTCAAAAGGCGCTGCATTTGGACTCGGGCAATACAATGATACTGAACAATATGGGCGTATGTTTGCTTTATGCCGGCAAACTGAAAGATGCGATCAACTTGTACGAGCGAGCAATCAATCTGAATCCGCAAAAATCATTGAACGAAAGTTTGCTGGTGAATTTATCCACATTGTACGAACTGGAATCTAATAATTCCAATGCGAAAAAGTTAAATTTGTTACGTTTGATAAACAGATTTAAGCCGGATCTCAATATAAGTGTAGAAATTTGCCTTAAATTACAGGCAACAAATTAGAAACAAATATATGTAAATACTGTTGGTAAACATTCCAAAACTCCATCCAGATTGAATAAAATTCAACCTAAAAAACTAGTATTTCGAAGATACTTTTGTGTTTATATATACATATACTGCACATGACTGGTGCTGGTATTTTTCAGAAGTTCTCATGTACATTATTATCTTATCGATTGTTAAAAAGGCACCTGTCGGCAAGTTATTATTCTCAAAATGACGTGTAAAAATATGACAGGATTAAAGAATGCCGTTAATAATTATTGTCCGTCATAAATATTATTATAGTAAACGATTATAATTTATTTTTGATTATTCAAAATTTCCGATACGTTTCTGGCACCAGTTATGCCAACATTTGTGGCGATTGGTCACACTTAGCTGGTGAAGTACTTCTGGAAGAAGAGTTTTTCAGGAATTTATTTATAAAACATAAATAAATCGTATCAAATAATTACGTACATACGTTATAAATGTTTGAAAACACGTTGTTCGTATTTTGTATAATAGGATAGTTGAAAATAGGTGAGTTTAGTGGCATTTAAACGCGTTCGAAATATGACCATACGAAACAGCAGCAGCAAGGCGTAGTTTATATTGATGTGGTTGAAAAGAAAGTGTAGAGAAATTTTCGGTGCAGTCACAATGTTGTTTATAAATCTATATAATCGACAAATGCCACAACTATATGTATGCGCGCCAAAATGTAACGAAGCGCCAACCAAAATAACGAAAATAAAAATATCAATTATATGAAAATTTTCTTTTTAGCTGTAATTAGTGTGTTGTGTGTTTTGATGGAAAAAGCGCGCCATTATTTCTGTGCCTGACATGACGTAGGCACGAATCCACAGAGCAGCACTTGAATGTTGTTAGTGTATTTTTTTATAAGTCATTGCAATTGTTTATGGCAAGTAATGCAATCGGCATTAGTGTGTGTGCGTGTATGTGGATTGCAGCAACAAAGTTGCCTGCAAATAATTTTTGTATATTTTTATTTGTGCGGTGCGCATACGCTAGGTACACGCTCGTCAAAACATATACACAAGCAGGCAGAAAATCTCTATTCTTTTGCAATTTGTTTTGATTTCTCATTCGTGTCTGTCATAGCGGCTCTCGCTCTCAGTTGTTCTCTCTTTGTTGCTCACAAAACACATGCGCGCCGCTCTCAGCCAGACCAAAAGCTCCAGCATGTGGGAGTTTTTCAGGGGAGTTGGATGGGGGCAGCAAATGCGTGCTCATAGTTTTATAATAACGGCATATTAATACATATATATATGCGTACACATTGATGCGTCATATTTATGACGATCCTTCTGCTCTGACACTTGCGCGTACTCTCCGGCTTGCGTTGCTGCTTCGCTGAGTGTTTCTTGCCGACTAGTTGCCGTTAAGCTGGAGCCCAAGTATTTTACTGCTTGTCAGACCATCGGCCACTCTCACATTCGCGCGCACTCTCTCGCTCTCCCTCTCGCGATTGAAAAACGTAAACAAGAGCTGTTAATAATGTATATGTGTCTGTGTGTGCTTGTATTTTGTTTTTGCTTTTGCAGAGCTCAAATGGCAGCTAACAACAGCAACATGCACAATCTGGGAGCGCTGCAGGTGCCGCCATCGGTGATCGCCTCCACGGGTTCAGTGGGTCCAATGATGCAGCCGAGCACTAGTGCACAGAGTGCCTGGGATCAGCTGACGGCGAGTGCATCCAACAATATGACGCCATCGCCGACAGCGGCAACAGCAACAACAACGGGTACTGTGGATACAGCTGGACACTTGATGAGCGCAGGTAGCTCACCTGTGGCTAGCTGCTCGTCACCATCGACGCCCACAAAAACACACCACGTCCCGCCCACGCTGGAGGCTATGGCCCATACGCCGCAAGGGCCACCAACGCTTGGACCTGGCGGATATGGTGAGGAATTGACCGCCGAGTTGGTGAATCAGGGCTGGCGTAAGTTTTGGTCGAAGCGCGAGAATCGGCCGTACTACTGGAACAAGGTTACCGGCGAATCGCTTTGGGAAATGCCCGGCGCACGTCCCTTTGATCCGCTCACCGATCCATTGGGCATTTGCCATGCTGGTGGCGTTGGCGTTGGTGGCCCAACGCCGATGACGCCGCATCAGCAACAGCATCAACATCATCATTTGAAGCGGCGGCCTTCGGACGACATGCACATACACCCGCACCCGCATCATCAACAGCTCCAGCAGCAGCACATGGGTCCGCACGGTGGGCCACCTCTGAAAAAGTTTGTGCTAGCCGGTCCCTGGGACCTGGAGGTGTGCACCAATGCAGTAATTGTTGAGCGTCCACCCACGTTATTACCACAGCCGCATCCCGAGATCGAAGCGTTGCGCGCCGCCTTCAGCATGAAGCTGATGAAGACATACGAGGATTTATGCATGCGCAGAGAAAACATCAAAGCGCCGCGAGACTCCTTCAACCGTTGGCTCATGGAACGAAAGGTCATTGATACCGGGTGTGATCCATTGCTGCCCAGTAACTGCCTGCCTGAAATCTCCAGCTCCATGTATCGCGAGATTATGGCCGATATACCCATTAAGATTGTCAAGCCCAAATTCACGGGCGACGCACGCAAACAGCTCTCACGCTACGCGGAGGCGGCCAAGCAGATCATTGAGTCGCGTTCTGCGCCGGCGGAGTCCAAGAAGGTTGTTAAATGGAATGTGGAGGACACATTTCAATGGTTGCGCCGCACGGTGGGCGCCAGCTACGAGGACTTCCAGGATCGTTTGGCTCATCTGAAGCGCCAATGTGAACCGCATTTAGTAGAGACCGTTAAAAGCTCCGTGGAAACGTTATGCATTAAAATCTATCATCTGTCGGCGGAGCATGCGCGTAAAATACGGGAACGCCATCTGCAGCTGCTCAAGGAGCATGGCATACCGGAACCAACGCCGCCACCGCCTCCTCCGCACCTGAAGAAGGTCTGGTGCTATCCCATACAGTTCGCAGTGCCCTCGCCTCGTATGCCGGCCATTGAATATCTGCAGGATCGTGATCATATGATCATTAAATATACGCCCGCGACCATCAATCAGCCGGATGCGCAGTATATCAACCTCACCTATCTCCAAAAGCTGGAGCAGCTCTATCGTCACAATTGTTTCGACGACAAGAAGTTTGATCTGTTCATCGGGCGCGTCTGGTGTCTGCTCAAGCGCTATCAGACCTTCTTGGGCAATGCTCTCAACTCCTCCCAGGAGGCGGAACTCACACAAGCTGCTCTGCCAGTGCCAGTTTTTGAGTGCCTTCACAGGCATTTCGGTGTCAGCTTTGAATGCTTTGCATCGCCATTCAATTCCTATTTTCGGCAATATTGCTCGGCATTTGCGGATACCGATGCCTACTTTGGTTCCAGAGGGTAAGTCAACAAAAATACAATTCTAATGGCCAATCCAATGGGATCCAAACTGAAGTTTACTTTTTGTCCTCTATGGTCACTTTATTGCAATCCAATGTATGCTGATTAGCGAGTTTTTGAAATTGCAATAAAGTGACCATGGAGGACAAATACATAATGCTATGTAAGCATGATCTGATATAATCTAATTGTGAACTTACACATTTTTCTGCCTGCAGACCATTTCTGGACTTTAAGCCCGTTTCCGGTTCCTTTCAAGTGAATCCACCGCATTGCGAGGAGCTGATTGATGCCTGCCTTTTGCACGTTGACAAGCTACTCACCGATTCCATGGAGCCATTGAGGTGAGTTGCTACGGGATCATATTCGCTTTCCCTGGGCTACCTGAAAAAAGCATACGTTAATAATTCCCAAAGCAATTATCTGAAATGTGTGCTAATAAATTTGTAATTTTTAACACAGCTTCATTGTCTTTCTGCCGGAGTGGAAGAGCATAGCGAAGCTGGAGGAGAGCATGTACAAGCGTCGCTCAATGGTGGTGCTGGGCATGGCGCACGAATACCGACATGGCTATCAGCATATGATGCAAAAGTGAGCAGTTAATAAATAATCAATTGCAGAGCGATTTGATCTAATTATTTAATGTACTCAACAGATCCGAGGTGCTCGTTAAGTGCATGCAGGGCACTCAAGTTGTTTGGCTGCAGAATAGCGCCGGCTATGCACGCTGGGGACCCAATGAGAATCGAGTCGAGGCGCTGCGAGAAGCTTTCAGACCGCAGCGCGATCGTGAGCGCGAGCGTGCCGCTGCTGCAGCAGCCGCCAGTGGCGGCAATAACAATCAACAGCAGCAGTCGCCACCGTCAACAACAACGCCGCAATCGACGGCTTCATCAGCTGTTGCCATACCAACCCCTGCGACGCCCACAACAGCAAATAGCAATAGCAACACATCAGCTGCTGTAACTGTAGCTATCACAACGAGCGCCAACAGCATCGGCAGTCCCGTGTCAACAACGTCTTCCGTGCTAACGCCCCTGTCGCCGCACACGCCCACAGGCACACCATCGCAATTTCCGTTAACCATTAGCAACACGAGCAGCAGCAGCAATTTGGTTGCCGCCTCACCAACGATGAGCGTTCAAAGTGATTGCTCATCGCCGTCATCGTCGACAATGTCATTGTCGCCGGCACCTGCCTCGGGCGGCTATCCGGATGGTGGCACAACAGCAGCAGCGGCTGCTGTCAGCATAACGGCAACAGCCAGCACATCTGCAGCCTCAGCGTTTGGACCAACAACTAGCATTAACAGCACAGCGGTCATCAATTCGGCTGTCTAGATTTATTGCGAGGGGGTAAAAACATTTTGTAAACTACTCGTCTTATCTTTTTAAGCTAACTGTGCACCATGGGGCTAAGTACCACTATTGTGTTTCCTTCATTTAGAGTTTATATTTTAAGCATAGTTTTTAAAATATCTTGAGGGTATTCACAGGATGAGACTTATGACTTATGGCAGCTTAAGCTTGGAAGTAATTGTTTTCTTATTAAGTAAATCTTTTGATATAAAATACAGAAAAACTCCTACATTTTCTTTTTTCAGTTTTAAGAAAGGAACTAAGGTCGATTTTCTAACTTTTAGCCAGTTTCTTTTTCGTAAGATAAGTCAAGAGTCTTTTCTGCCTGTGAGTGCCCTTGAAATTAATGGTTACAAGTTTAAACTTAAATAATTGTACATATGTTTTTTATCAATTATAAATAGCTGATACTTAACCGCGGCCTGGCTGTTGTTAGTCTTTGAAATTCACCCTGAACAAGGGCCAAGCTACCCACAAAAAAGAAAAATAAGGTTCAGATATGCATACAAAGTATGGGTAGAATGGGTTCCACGTATCCTGATAAGGGTAATTTAACAAATGAATTGTTTTCCAAATCCTTAAAACAATATAAGCACACAGACACACACACACACATAAACACAAAATACAAATCATGCACTAGCACAGGAGATCAAGCAATATTTTTGATTATTCATTCCGTGCCGCACCATAACTTTATATACAATATACGAGTAAGCCCCAAACAATCTTTTGTGAGACTATAAACATATAATTTAGGATTATTACTAATTACAAAACTAATTTATCGTATGTACAAATCGATAAAACCTTTAACTTAAGTAGTTGAAAAAAATATACATACATAAACGGATCGCGCAGAGAACCAAATTTGTAATAGAACATAAGCAAAAGCTACGCACCGCACAAATAACATAATTAACCTTCAAGGGGATTGTCACAATTGAATCTATTGGTTAGCTTAAAACCAGATCAATTCAGTTATTGAGTGTTCAGTTAAGCTGCCAATAGAAGCCATCGTGAACACGCCCATATTTTAATGGGAATTTAGCCAATTTAATAGACACGTAGAAAATAAAAAGAATCGGCGACTTTAGATAAAAATTGAATGCTAACTATAAGTTTGAAAAAATATCAACTAAGCTGAACTATTACGACACCCGGCCACCCCACCACCTCTCCTTAACACGATATGTTAACTTTTTTTAAAACACAAAAACAAATCCGGCGCTCTTGTCGCATAGATTAACAAATTGCATAATTAAAGTTTCTTTCAATTATTCAAACCGATTTTTATTATATTTTTTAAATATATATTCGTACTGTATATATGTGTGAGTTAACTTTTGGTAGCAATTATGGATATGGATAAGCCGTTGACAATTAAACCTAAGTGCTTAAACGCAAACCTTCTAAATGTTATTAATTCAATTTACAATGATTACTTGAAGCAGCAAATTTTTCATATACAATATACATATATAAAGTATACATGTATATATGAAGCCAAGTTATATAAGCCTTGTCATGCCTTTTACATGATCTCTAAGCTAGAATCACTGTTCTTGGTTACTACCTCAGTTTCGGAGGAGCCCGAACCGGAGCCAGCATCATCGGGCTTTTCATTGTCATCCGACTGGCTATTGTTGCTATGGCGATGATGATGCGGCGAACCGGCCAACTGCCAAGCAGGTATCGAGGGCACCGCAATGGGCTGCACAGGTCCGGCAAATTGTTTGCGATTTAGCAGCAAACCCTTAATGGCATCCAAATCACATCGGAAATTGTTGAATTCACGATTCATCTGTTGGGTATGCTCCTTCTGTTGCAGTGTAATCAAGTCCTTGACCAATGTAATCTCCTTATTGAGCGCATCTGTGCGGTCTTCTACCTTCTTGTCAATGTCTACCAAGACATCCTCAACGGGTTTTCTCTTGGGCTTGCCAAACAGAAACGGCGCAATGTATTTCTTTGAGTGGAAGGAGAAAAGTTAAGCACAATGGGGCCATGTTGTTATCTATTTCACCTACTAACCCGCCAGAACAAAAATATGGCATAGACGACTCCGCTGAACAAAGCTGTCGTGTGCAACAGCTCACGCAGTCTGCCAAAGGCAGTTTGCTGTGGCTGCACCGCCAGCTGAGAGCCAATATTGATAACGGTATTGGGATTGTTTGGATCTTGGCTAAAGACACCGGCCCGCTCGCAAGCCAATTGTATCTCATGCGCAGTTAGACCTTTGGACCGAAGAAACTGCTGTTTCTGGACGAGTGTTGTGTGTCGAACTTTGGTATTTTGTAGAAAGCTAACAGCTGTGGTTATCTATCCCATGAAGATTATAGATTAGACAAAGTCGAATGTGCCTGCTATAGGGGTTTACTTAGGCAACATACCAGCGACTCGCGCGGCTCTAGTGGCTCCCCATCGATAGAATTGGGGTTGTAATCCTGCACAGAAGCACTTGTTGTGGCCAGTATGGTTGTGTCACCGGTGTCCGTGTTGCTGTTTGCCATTTTAATGTTAACGCTAATTTCAATTTTGTTATTGAAGCAGAAAACCCAAATGCTAATGCAGCAAGGGGTTTTGGGCTGGGAATGGCTGAATACAAATCATCGATACATCATAGTGATTGTCGATATATTTATGCTGGGCTTAACGATATGCGATATAAGTAATTTAAAAACGGAAAATAATCAATTTTGTAAACTAACCTTTATCTATTTTGCAATAAATGTGCATATAGAAAAATATTTGTAGACAAAATATTGAAAATATCAGGATATTGTCGATTGGATATAGAAGTACAATTATTTGACGCATTTCAGTCAGGTGGCAACACTTTACGATCACAGGTGGCCACTGCCAAGCAGCAATCATCATTTCAATTAACGCTTTTACACTATCTGTTGTGTATTTTTATAATCAGCTATTTTCGATAAAAATTCGCTGCCTTATTATTGATAGTCAATTCTTTTAATTTTGTTGATTTTAATTTACTAACTTGGCATAGTGTTTGTCTTGGGCATTCAGTGCATTGGAATGCAAAAGTGTCTGTATGCGCCCAGTGCCAGCGATACTTGTTAGCTGGCAACGCTGCTTGCACTCACTAAAATCGCCTGCAGTTTTTGTGCCCCACGGAAAAAGTGAAAAAAATCGAATTTAAGTCAAGTTGTGCCCACATCGACACGAGATAATGTCTTGTGCCGCAACTCTAACAACGGCTAAAGATTCGACAAATGCCGCTGCCAGTGCATCATCTCCGGCTACCTCCGTGGGTGTGGTAGTCAGTGGTGGTAGCACTGTGGCCGCTGGTGTTGGCAACGGGGGCAGCGGCGGCGGGGCAGGTGCTGCTGCTGGCTCAGCTGCAGCGGTCGCCCGACGTTTTTCCATGGAAGGAGTTGGTGCGCGTGTGATTCGTGGCCCAGACTGGAAGTGGAACAAGCAGGTTGGTATCGTTCGTTGTGATCAACGGTCCGGGGGAGCACCCCTCAGACATTGCCTATTCTTTCTCGCAAAATTAATTAAATCAATGCGGCCCTGACTTTTCAATAACAACATATACACTTTCGACGGGCAGGGTCTTAAGGCTTTCGCGTGAGGCTGGCGGCGATTGCATTAAATTGTAATTGGGCTGATTTTGATTTTGTTTTACTATTATTTGAATTCCAAGGCTTAAGCGATTTTCTTTTTGGATTAAAATAAAATATCAACTCAATCCCCGAGCCGAGGTCTCACTTTCGAATAACTGAATTGCAAATAAATCCTCTCGAAGTTCTACAAAAAGTATAGTATATTACTTTTTTTAACCGAGCCTATTGGGATTTCAATGCATAGAGGTCTTTCGAAAAATCCATATTCAAGATTTTATAAGGGAGTACTTGACCTTGTACATGAAGCTTCAATGTGATAAATTGTCTACAAATTTTTCATCTTTGCCGATGAAATAATCGATAAGGCTTAAATATATATGGCCCGTAGAATAATAAAACCTAGGGTATATAAGGTGCGAACCCATGGGTTGTCTGTTAGCGTGTGCGCTTGATTTGTTCTGTTTTCTATTGACACTGACCTGGACGAGGTGGCTTTGGGGTCGATCTGAAGATCGCCGACTAGATTGTTCAACGCGCCGACTGCACCCTTAACAGTTAACAGTTAGTAGATTGAGCACAGCAGAGCATTGCGGAGCGTTGGGAAACAGGCAAATGCGCTTTAATTATAATTTTCGCGTTGTGATTAGCGTGAGTTTCGAGTGTCATCATTTTTAGCGTGTTGAATGTGGCGTGAGTTGAAGCTGGAGAAACTAAATGAATCTCTGTCTGTTGCAGGATGGCGGCGAGGGGCATGTGGGCACGGTGCGCAACTTTGAGTCCGCCGAGGAGGTGGTCGTTGTCTGGGACAATGGAACCGCCGCTAATTATCGCTGTGCCGGCGCCTACGATCTGCGCATTCTAGACAGCGCACCCACTGGCGTCAAGCACGAGGGCACCATGTGCGATACGTGCCGCCAACAGCCCATATTTGGCATACGCTGGAAGTGTGCCGAGTGCATCAATTACGATGTATGCTCCATATGCTATCACGGCGACAAGCATCATTTGCGTCATCGTTTCTACCGGATTAGCACGCCGGGCGGTGACCGTGCAATGGTTGAGCCGCGTCGCAAGTCCAAGAAGGTGCTGGTGCGCGGCATCTTTCCAGGCGCTCGCGTTGTGCGTGGCGTCGACTGGCAGTGGGAGGATCAGGATGGCGGCGTTGGACGTCGCGGTAAGGTGAACGAGATCCAGGATTGGTCATCCGCGTCGCCGCGCTCAGCGGCCTACGTTATTTGGGATAATGGCTCCAAGAACTTGTATCGCGTCGGCTTTGAGGGCATGGCGGATCTCAAGGTGGTGAACGATGCCAAGGGGAGCAATGTATATCGCGATCATTTGCCGCTGCTGGGCGAGAATGGACCGGGCAAGGGGCCACATGGTTTTCAAATTGGCGACAAAGTCACCGTCGATTTGGATCTGGAGATTGTGCAATCTCTGCAGCACGGACACGGCGGCTGGACAGACGGCATGTTCGAGTGCCTCAGCAATGCGGGCATGGTCGTTGGCATTGATGAGGATCATGACATTGTTGTTGCCTACAACTCTGGCAATCGTTGGACATTCAACCCAGCTGTGCTGACCAAGGTATCTTCGCCAACGACAGCACCGCCCGATTTCCAGGTGGGCGACATCGTCAAGATCTGCTCGGATGTGGAGAGCATTAAAATACTGCAGCGCGGCCATGGCGAATGGGCAGATGCCATGCAGCTGACATTGGGTAAAATTGGACGCGTCCAACAAGTTTATCATGACAACGATCTGAAGGTGGAGGTGGGCAACACTTCTTGGACATACAATCCACTGGCCGTCTGCAAGGTGGTTTCCTCCAGCGGTGCCGGCCCTGGTGCTGCAGTCACGGGCGATGGCAACTGTGCTCCAGTCATACCCAGCGGTGAGCGCCTCTCCGCCATTCTTAAGAAACTTTTTGAGCCCAATGTATCCGGTGATGCCACCGAGGAGTTTGTCAAGGCTGCAGCCAATGGATTTGCGGTTAGTTGGTCTGTTGTTATTTTTATTAGCATCTGCTTATGTTTTGCTCTTCATTGCAGTCCCGTTGTGAGGAGTATTTGGCTGGCGCCACGCAGCCTTCAACGTCCAGTGCGGCGGCTGCCGCGGCTGCGGGCAGTCCCAGCGGCGGTCCCGTGCCGGAGGTGAATGTGAATGGTGTGTTTGCGGGTCACACGGCGCTGCAAGCCGCCAGCCAGAATGGCCATATTGAAGTCATTCAAGTGCTTCTGCGACACTCTGTCGATGTAGAGATCGAGGACAAGGACGGCGATCGCGCCGTGCATCATGCGGCCTTTGGCGATGAGGCAGCTGTCATTGAGATTTTGGCCAAGGCTGGCGCAGATCTAAACGCACGCAACAAACGTCGCCAGACCTCGCTGCACATTGCCGTCAACAAGGGGCATCTGAATGTGGTCAAGACGCTGCTCACGCTGGGCTGCCATCCCAGTTTGCAGGACTCTGAAGGTGACACGCCGCTCCACGATGCCATATCGAAGGTAGAGATTTAACTAAATGTGGAAAAGATATCTTCGTTTCTTAAAATATATTTTTATATAATTACTATTCATTTTTGCAGGAGCACGATGAGATGCTTTCACTGCTGCTCGACTTTGGAGCTGATATCACGTTGAACAACAACAATGGATTCAATGCGCTGCATCATGCAGCGCTAAAGGGTAATCCGAGCGCCATGAAGATATTGTTGACTAAAACGAATCGACCCTGGATTGTCGAGGAGAAAAAGGACGATGGCTATACAGCATTGCATTTGGCCGCACTTAACAATCACGTGGAAATTGCCGAATTGCTCGTCCACATGGGCAAAGCTAATATGGACAGGCAGAATGTGAATCTGCAGACGGCACTTCACTTGGCCGTGGAGCGGCAGCATGTCCAGATTGTTAAGCTGCTGGTGCAGGATGGCGCCGATTTGAATATAGCCGATAAAGATGGTGATACGCCGCTGCATGAGGCACTGCGTCATCACACACTCTCACAGCTGAAGCAGCTGCAGGATGTCGAGGGCTTCGGCAAGCTGCTGATGGGTCTGCGTAATGCCAACAACAAAAAGGCATCCGCATCTATTGCCTGCTTCCTGGCGGCCAATGGAGCCGATTTGACGCTGAAGAATCGCAAGCTGCAGACACCGTTGGACCTGTGTCCCGATCCGAATCTCTGCAAAACGCTTCTTAAGTGCTACAACGAGCGTAAAACCGATGACGTCGAGCTACCAGGCAATGTGGCCGGCACGAGTCTCAATGCACGTGCGCGTGCTCAAAGCGCAGCTGCAGCTGGCACTGCAGCTGGTATGCATCAGTCGGCCACGGCGAATATTCCACTCAATACTGTAGCCTCGGGGAGCGCCTTTGGGCTCAACGGACTCAGCACGGACATGGCACAGTCCATGCATGCAGATAGCACCAGCAGCAGCAGCAGCAACAAAAACAGCAGTGGAACTGGCGGCAGCAGCAGCAATAACAATAATAACAACAAGCCCACCAGCTTGGAGGAGTGCCTCGTCTGCTCGGATGGCAAGCGAGACACCGTGTTCAAGCCGTGCGGCCATGTTAGCTGCTGCGAAACGTGCGCGCCGCGCGTCAAGAAGTGTCTCATCTGCCGTGAGACGGTCACATCGCGCGAGAAGATTGACGAGTGTGTCGTCTGCTCGGATAGACGTGCCGCCGTCTTCTTTCGTCCCTGCGGCCACATGGTGGCCTGCGAGCATTGCAGTGCGCTGATGAAGAAGTGCGTCTTGTGTCGCACGCAGATCGATGAGATGTTAAACTTTAACTTGTGTTGCGGTGGCACAGGTAACGTCGAAAAGGTTTGCGTCGCCGGCACCGTGTGCTTGACTTCCACTGAGGAGAAGTTTGTGGAGCCGCCATGTGTGAACACTTCCGGTCATAGCGTGGCCATGAATAACACGGTGGTCACCCCAGTGGCAGGCAGCAGTAACCAATTGAATAGCCAGAACAATTTATTAGCTGCTGCGGCAGCAGCGAACGCTACGAATTTACCAGGCGGTATGGTCGCGCCTTCCGGCGTCAACAATTTCCAAATGGACGATGTGCAGAAACTGAAACAACAGTTGCAGGACATCAAGGAGCAGGTGGGTAGCAGATGAAATATTTAAATAATTGGCAACTGTTTAACAACAATTTAATGTGCTTTATATCTTTGCAGACCATGTGCCCTGTTTGCTTCGATCGAATTAAGAATATGGTCTTTCTGTGCGGACATGGCACCTGCCAGATGTGCGGTGATCAAATCGAGGGCTGCCCAATTTGCCGCAAGACGGTGGAGAAGCGTATTTTGCTATTCTGAAGCACAATATATATTTATCCAATTCTTGGCACACATTCCACGCACAGTCCCCAGGCACATCAGCGTGCGAATCGGCCTTAAATTAAGTATTACTTAAAACAAATAGCATAAAAGTCTCGAAGTATACACATATATACAAGTACGCGCATATATCGTCTTATAAAGCGAAATATATATATATTTTTAACAAATATTTCACGTCATCAAAACTAAGCCGTTACATTCTTTGTGCTTTCATTGCTTCCTTTGCTTATTAGATCCTTGAGAATGTCCTTTTTGGCCTCAAAGTAATCGCGGAACCACAAAATGTGCTCCTTCTTCTCCTGCGCCGTAACGTACGGGTTTTTGGAGAGACCCACGCACACCAACTCCATGAAATGGCGTATGGGCCCTTTGTTGGGACACCAGCCCTCCAAATGCTGTTCCAGAAAAATGTGCTCCGAAAAGTCAACGTTCGCTTCCTCATGCATATCCTGCTCGTTGTCAATCGGGAAACGCCAAACTTTGCCTTGTGCCGTCCATTGGATCATCTGCTCAAAGTAGTTGGCAGGTGGATGAGCTGCCTGTAGTTTCAATTCACGCTCGTTCAGCGCGGACCAGGTGGAGAGCATGTCCGGTGAATGCAGCAGCTTTGTTGAGTCTTTGGTAAAAATACCCAAAGGTTCGCCACCATACAAGTTGACGCTGCCTGAGAAGGTTTCCGCTTCACGTTTAATGTGTCGCTGCGGACGCTGCGACGATGTGTGATCACCCGACCTGGATTTGGGACGCGATGCCAACGTGCGACGCACATATTCGCCGCGAGTTTGCTCCGTTTGCTGCGGCTGCTGGCGACGATCGATTTTCATGCCCACAATTAGTTCGCTAAAAGTCGCCAGAAAAGGCAAAGTTATGAAAGTGGCAATTGAATATCGGAAAGCAGACACCTTAAATTGAGCTCCTTCTCTGTGCCAGCACTTGCGGCTGGTGTGCTCTTGTTATCGCCTGGCGGTGCATCTGGTCCACCTTCCACGCTGTGTCCCAGTAGTTTAGCTAGCAGTTCGGATTCGGTTTGTTTTCTCTCGTTTTCGCCCGTGCCCAACATGCTGGCAATATTCTTGGCTGCTGTGATAACGTCCTTAGTGGCAGCATCCTGCTTTAGTGCTTCCCGGCGCCGGCGATTAGCATCCCCTGGACGTGGAAAATCCGCATCCGCTAGGTGATCCGTAGTTTGCATTTGCATGCTGCCAAGCAAGCGATTCAAGCGCTGCGCTGCTGTTTCTTTGGGTTTCTCTGCAGACTTACGCTGCTTCTTCGGCTGCTTCTCATCATCCGAAGAGGAGGCACCATCATCGTCCTTCGACTGGGAAGAGCTTGAGTAGCTAAGAAGTCCCACGTTTTTGCAGGCTGCCGGCAGCAAGGCACTGTTAATAACAATGGGAATTACAACATGGCAACAAGCTATGCTTATTTATGTATCACTTGCCGTATATAAAACTTTTGTGTATTACGTAGTGCCAACATTCTTGCTTATTTCTTTGATAATATCACAAAAACTCAACACATTAACTTTTTCATGCACCTTGCGCTCGCGTAACAATAATAAGCCAACCGAAATGACAGTATGGCAACGCCGCGACTGCTTGGCTAAACTATCGATTGTTTTTTCTGTTATCGATGTGTAACTTATTATTGTTGTTATATTTCTTGCCCATAAAAGTTTTGCAATAATGAAAGTAAACAAACGTCACAAGTTGTAATAAATGCAATTTGTGGGTTCCACTTAGTTTTCAAGATGAGTGGAAACGCCTTTAACTTTGAAATAAAGTTAAAACGTGAGAATAAAGTGTATTATGAGAATGTGCGTATGTAAACAATCAAGCAAAACATTTAACTAATAGTTTTCTCTGCGTAGGACATGCTGGTGGGCTGCGTGCAGTTTCAGTGTCCAGCTGAAACCAAACACGACGGCATACTCCTTACACTAGACGGCGTGGTCAACTTGCAGCTAAGTAGCAAAACTGTTGGCCTTTTCGATGCCTTCTACAACTCCGTGAAGCCGATCAATTTGCTGCAGAACAGCCTGGAGCTGTCGGCCCCGGGTAAACTAAGTGCCGGCAACTCGGAATTCCACTTTGAATTGCCGTTGGTGTGCAAGAAGGAGCCCCGCAAACTATATGAAACATATCACGGCGTCTTCATCAGCATCAACTATCAGCTGAAGTGCGATGTAAATGTGAAGCGCAACTTTCTGGGCAAATCGCTGCAGAAAGTGCAGCAATTCTGTGTGCAATACAAGCCCACGCCCCTAAGCGACGAGGCGACCCGCGCCGTCCCGTTCAGCCTGAGCATGATCAATGCCAAGGAGCGTGTAACGATGCCGCGTTTCCTAATCACGGGTCGATTGGATCGCTTGGAATCGTGTGTCACGATGCCCATTACAGGCAGTCTGACCGTGCAGCATACCGAGGCGCCCATAAGGTCCATTGAGATGCAGCTGGTGCGCGTGGAGACCTGTGGCTGCGACGAGGGCTACTCCAAGGATGCAACTGAAGTGCAAACCATACAGATTGCCGACGGAAACGTTATGCCCAAGCTGGAAATACCAATTTATATGGTGCTGCCGCGCTTGTTTACATGCCCCACGCTTTTAACCAAGAACTTTAAAATTGGTAGGTTGCGGTTTGCTCTTTTGTGATATTTGGCCTAATCAATAAAACTTATTTTTATGCTTGCAGAATTTGAGCTCAACTTGGTGGTGCTGTTTAAGGAGGAGCACACTGTCAGCGAAAATTTTAAAATAGTTCTAAAGCGCGCTTCCGGTCCATTGCCTAGCAAAATAAATACAGCTGGACGCTGAACGCATCAAATAACTGCCAACTATTTACACACAGTTCAATTAAAGCTTACACTCAAGTTGTCAACTGGATGCTAATAACAAAAAATAATAAGCAATATATGCTCTATCTCGAAATTCTATTAAAAATAAATAAAAACTATTTTAAATTAAAACTGGCATTTCACTAACCTACCATTGAGTGAGTATTTAAATACTTGCGCGCAATTTAAGTGCTGCCACCTGATCTGTAAATACTATCTTAGAAATAACCTAAAAAACGTCAAAAGCTGAAACGGCCAAAATAATATGAAGCCAAAAAATTTGAAAAAATTTGATGTCAAAACAATATTAGACAAAGTTGTAATGTAATTAATTAAATTGATTTTGATTAAATGCGATTTTTGTGCATTTTTTAGCTATTCTCAAATAAGCTAGTATTTGTTTAACATTAATTTTCTATTTCGCTTTACTATAGATTGCGCCATCTTTTGTTTTCAACTTGATTATTATCTTTCAATTTACAACAGCTGCCAAAACAAACTTCACCTTAGGCAATTTTACTGTAATAATATTCGATGTGTGTATATACTATACTATATATATTTCGGAGTTCCAAGATAGCACCCTCTTTATTATTCTTATATTCCGTGATGCTGCGACCGGTAAGTGCATATCAATTTCCTGCTTGCCTCGTTGCAAAAACTTTAAATCTTTAATAATTTAAGTGTGTGTGTGTGTGAGGGTGTGTATGTCTATATTTTCGTTTGTTTGCACGGATGTACGTATGTAGGTATGTCTGCTCTTACACACACACAGATTTTAAGTCTGTGCCGGTAAGCTACACATGCATGTACATGCCTACAAATACATATAAATTACTTAGCATACATATGTAAAGTGCCGTGTTCTCTTATTTTTAGGAGGTTACGAGTTTAAGGCAGGTGTTTCGTAGAGCTTTTTTACACACAGTGTATAAATATTGTAAACTATATTCACACATGCATATGTGTACATAAATACATATATACATATATTTGTATATAGCCAACGCAAGATTCAAGTTCACTAAATTATCAACATATGCATGCATGTGCATACATACATAGATATACTGTGAGTACATATGCACATACATACATATATTTGTTCTACTTGGCGGCGTAACTTTCATCCATAAAGAAGCACACAAACACACTCATACCCACAAGCGTATTTATTTAAGACAAATAAAAAGAGAAACTGTTGCTTTCTCCTTCTGCTGGTTAACAGACGAGTAGACGGTTAGACGATGTAGAGGTGTGGGATAGGCGGCGGGGAGTGGGGTTGGGGGAAGAGGCTTCAAACTGAAATTGAGTTGAGAAGCTGCTGATTCCTCTCACAGGCAGTTCAGGCTGCAATTTGTGTGTCACCAAATGTACCACTAACAAAGAGCACCCACTGACAAACTTTTTCGAGACTTGTTGTATTTTTTTTTGCCTTGCTCCTTGCGTTCGCCTCTGTTGAAATGAATGGAAGGACGCTGTGGGCAACAACTTTTAAAGTAATACCCCCAAACAGAAAGTTTTCACACCAAATGTTGCCAACATGGCTGCTGCCTTGTACACGGATTTCGATATTAGTTGGCACTGTTCATGGGCAGCACTGGCAGCTGTCAAAGTCGCGTCGCAATGGGCGTACTGTGCCTGTGTGTGTCTGTGTGTGGTTGTGTGCATGTGTGTGGATATTGTAGGATTGGGCTTAGCATTAAAGTGCCGTCACGTCGTGTAATTGATTTAAAATTAGCACATCGCTTGCAAATTTAAATTGTTTACATTTGCCTGGGGACAGCTGGTGCTCTGTGTGTGTGTGTGTGTGTGTGTGTGTGTGTGTGTGTGTGTGTATGTGTGTTTATGCATGTTTAATGAACATGGAGCTACCGCCAGGGCTGCTGTAATCGCATTTCAATATGCTATGTAACCCAAGCCGTGTCCCGTTGCGAGCTGCTCATCGGCCCTTCTCTCGCCGTGCGTTGCCTCGCAACGCTTTGCCTCGCCATCTGCTCTGTTGCAACGGCAATTTAGTTTGTACGGCAAACTTTTCATAGCTGCTCTGACCCGTAAACGAGGTCAACGCAAAAAACATTTTGAAAAATTCATATGCAAACGTATTTTCAGTTGCACTTGCAGGTGCCAGATTGCAAAAACAGAAATTCCCTTTTCAAGTGCCCGGGCCATAGAAAAACTTTTTAATGGCCGCACATTTTAATAGGTGTGCTGCTCAGGGTTATATAGAGTACCTTCTCCTCCCAGTTAGGCTTCAATCATTCGTTCAGACAACTTGCTCTTGATGCAAATTAAGACTTTTGCGAAAGTTCAAACATCGAATCAAATAAATGCCCTTAACGTTTCTGTTACACTTCAGCAGCTAATTGACAGATGAAGCTGTCAAATCAATCCAATTTTTGAACGTTGCTTTATCGATTGCTTGCCAAGTGCAGCCAACTTCACTCAACTGATTTGCATGGCTGCCGGCGTCTTTCCGCTTTTTAAACTCAGCTGCAGACAAAGTTAATTCCCAGTGCATTAGCTAATTGTTTGGCCAGCTCGTGCGGAAGTTCGTCGCTGCTAGCTCAAAGTGAAACATTTTGCGTTTCAAGATAAGCACCGGACCGGACCGGGCCGTTGCCCGTTGACCATTGCCCTTGCCGGCCGCCCACACCCTGCACGGGTCAGATTAAGTGTGCATCCCCGAACTGCGCCCACCGAAATAAAACTTTTGACTAAACCCGGTGTTGCTAATTGTTACACGGGCCCAAACTACAAGCCCATGAGTAATTAGGGTCTGGATTAGGTACTGCCTACACTCTAATAAATTTTCGCCTAAAGGCGAGCTCGGGTCCTGTCCGGAGCCCGTCCGGGGCGTTGCAGGGCACAAGGGCGGGGATCAGGACGCCGCCTCCAGGTTGTATTATGCCATCTCGCGTCCGTTGACGCTGATGTACGTACGTGTTTCGGCGTGCTTCCGTGATAATTTCAAACTTTTGCACCAATTATGTGCACGGCAGCGCCGATTCTCTTCATCTATGCGTTAGTGTGTGTGTGTGTGTGTGTGTGTGCGTGCTATGTGCGTGTGTATGTGTGTGTGTGTTTGCGACGGCTGCGTTTTTGTGCCTGTAGTTTATGCTCATTACGTGAGTGCTGCGCGCAGCAAACTCGCAAATTGCTGTACAAGAAACGATGCCGTCGGCGCTACACAGAGAAACAGCACACACACACCAAACACACACACACACACACACACACACCAAACACACATACACACCCACACACAAATATGTATACAGCGAATGCAAAGGAATTATTTTTGCTTTTGCAGCGCATTTTCGAATTTAATTTTCAGGTTAACTGCGCGCTTCCAAAGTTTCTCTCAGCTTTTACACGTGGCGTATACGCGTTTTTTCATTGCCCATTTCATTTTTGGCCAGCAGCGAGGGGCGCTCGTTAAGTAATGTACTTGCTGCTGGCTGGATGGCTGGCAGTTAAAATTAGGCATCATAAAACTGTCAAAACTTTAGCACTTTTTAATTAATTGGCGGCTTCTCGTTTGGCATTTGCGAGGCTAATATTTTGAGTGCCTAAAAATAGGGCTATGTTTTTAGCAGCAACAACAGCTGCCAAAAATAAAAGGATTTTGCAAAATTGCACATAAAAGCCAAGTGCTCAAATAGTTAACTGTGTTTTAAAGATAATAACGCAAGCTGTCCTATTGACAGCTATAAAGTTGTGATCGTCAGAACAAGTAACTCATACTTGTTGCAATAAGGAGATGCCCTTTATCCAACTCTGAATTGCGGCAATATGTCTCTGGAGTCATCTCATTCAGCTGCATTCAAATGATGTCAGCTCGAATTTTCCAGCAGCTTTATTACTTTGTGAATTGCCCTCGTTTAGTTGCAACTACTCGTGGCATCTACTTAGCCGCCCCGCCACGCCCACTCACTATGACTTGACATATAATTAAGGCAGTTGGCGTCTCTGAATGCTTTTCAGCTCTGTTTAAGAGCAGATATAAAAGTTGAGTTCCGCTTGACGTTCTCCAAATGTTGACACTTGAATTTTCGGGCTTGTTTACCTTTTGGACATTTCCTGGCTAACATCCTGTGGCACTTGCTGCTGCAACCGCGGCAGTAATAGCTAAACACGTGCAGCGTGGCGAAAAAAAAAACGTCTTTACGCAGAAGCTTTTCCGCTTTCTTAAAGCACTCGTCGCCTAGACAGAGTGGCAGGCGAGGCAAGCAACAGAAATGAGAAAAAGATAAAATAGAATGGAAATTCCAGCACTTGCGTGTTTTCGCATTTTATTTTCCTTACAATTGTCGGCGCGAAACTGCATAAACTATCAGAAGCAGCTGGAGCAGAAGTGGAGGCGCTTGGTGTGGGCGTTCGGGCGTTGTGGTACAGGAAAAGTTTGTGTCGCATTTTCATTGAAGCTCAAAGTGAGAGCTTCAACCGAGCATAGTTTACATTTTGTTTGTTTGTTTACTTCAAAATTGTAAATGGATTAGCCGTACAGTGAGAGAGCGCGCAGCAAGTCTGACAAATTGAATTTGTTACACTCGGAGCGATGAGAAGTTTTCAAAACTTTTGCTTGCATGGTTGAGGATATTGGACGTGTACACCGCTAGCATGCTAGAATTGCTATCGCTATAAGCCCCTGCCGCACAAAGTTTCTCAGCGAAAGTGTTGCAAAATAAATTGCACCACTAACGGTAGCCGGAGGCAAGCTGAATGGGAACGAGCCAAGTGCCCCATTCTGTATGTGGATGCCATTTGTAGCTTGCCTGACTGATGAAACTACTGGCAAACAGCTATCAATACTTAGGTTGAGCTTAAAAACTACCAAACAAATGGATGATTAAGCTTAAATTGGGGTTTGTTCAGGTGCGGCTAAGTTATTTTCTACAACATTTCAACTGGAATTTCAATAGAAAATTAATCAAATTCGATTTAAAGCCGCAGAAAACGTTTATCATTGCTGCAAATCGCAGCCAATTTTGCGTAACAGTGCTGCCCACTTTGAAATAAAAGTGGTACTTATGGTGGAACAGTGCTACCCATAAACATAAATTCAGTTACATGCTCCTCAATGCGAAATCTACACACAG